TCCCCGCTTGTTTCCTGACTTAGCCAAGCATTATTCAACTTATTTTCTACATAAATATAATTTGTAATAACTTATCCAATGCATCAGTAGAGCAGGTCCAATAATTTTGTTCTTGTTCTCGGGGCAGCTGTAGAAGAAGTAGCAGACAGCTATTTAGTGAGTCTGTGGCGTCGCGGACTTTGGGCCCAATGCAGCGATGTCGTGGGTTCGGATCCTGGTCACTGCCGATAACATTTTATCAATACAGTTCACCTTTGTACTGTACCGGCTCACTTCTTGCTTTGCTGTTAACGATCCACGCACGGGCGCTTAGTTTATGTGGACGGGCAAATGCATGGTTAAAGAGGCCGCCAACCTCTTTAAAAAAAAAAAATAAATAAAATTAAAAAAAATTTCCTCTTTTTCCTCCACCGGTGCAAGATTTATGCACCGGAGAAATTGTACGGTGCATAATACACCGGCGGCCTCTGATTGGTCAGTTTCTTGGACAACAGCTTGCAGCTAAGGCAAGATGGCGGGTCCATCGAATAATGTTCATAAGTTTTATAGGTTATATTACGTAATGAGTGAATAATTTGTTCAATTCGATATTACCTGATAAACAAATAATTTTCAAATAATTTATTACGTGAGGGCAAGTCTGTTTGTTTGATTTAAATATTATAAAGCAAATAGTAGGTGGATGTGTAAATCATAATCCAATGTGTGCCGTAAACCGGTGATTAACCGTTCTGGGATACCAAGACTCTTGCCCCAGGGCGGTACCGGTGAGTAATTCACCGGTGCACCGGTACTTGTTCCCAGAACGTGCCCAATGTTTCGTTGCATCACTGTCAGTGACAATCAGAGGTTATAAACAAAAACATAACCTCTCTTATGCTCTAGGGGCTGGAGCACGGCCGCCTTAAACTCCAGGCCGCGGCCTTCGAAGTGGCAACGTCGCAAGTGGTGTTGTAACAGCTGTTTTGTTTGAAAGCAGCTAATGGTATTTGTGTATTTATGAATGATTGGTTACTGGACTATGACAATATTGACTCCGCTTAACATGTCCAGATATAGATTTTTAATTCATATTGTTTCGGTTTTCAATTCTGTATGTTTTATTTTCAATATTTTAATAAATTTATGTTCATAAATTTAAATTTAAATCGATAAAGTGCGAATTAATGAGCTGATGTCACCTGTCTGCCATGTTATCTTATGGGACGTCTAACACTAAACAACACCACTTGTGATGTGGTCAATTCTACCAGGCCGCGGCCTGTAGTTAAAAGGTGGCCGTGGCTGGGGTGTGTCATTGTATCAAGGTCATCCAATGAATGACAAGACGTAAAGAATGGCCTGACCTGACATTTTGCAAGCGGCTAGTAGTACACAATAGCCGCATGATTCAAGCCAAAACATGGTTTATCTAGCCACTTCAGCCCACATTATTGATCAAATTCTTTTGAATTTTTTTTTTATTTATATGAGTTACTGTGCCATTCTACTACCTTACATAGTTTAAAATGATTTTCAAATTGTTTCTATAGCTTTGGGTAAACAATACTTAGGATAAAAATACATCTATTTGAGATGCACTTAGGTATTTTACATGCTTTGACTACAAGAGAACACTTTTTTTCCAAATTCAGTAACGACAAATAGTATCGAAAGTAGCTAAACAAAAGGGCATGTTTTGCCCTATTTTAGAGGGGTGGTGAAGACTCTTAAATAGTGGGATTAAGTTGTATAATTTATACACTATAGTCTACATTGAATTTTTACTCACTTTAGAGGTTAAACTGGTCTGTATATAATTTAGCTACCTAAGTTTAAAGATTTATGATTTCTACTCTGTATCAAAATCACTACCAAAATCTTTTACAGCCAATCAAATACAAAATTTGATTCTTTTAGTCTTTTTAGCGAATTTCCCATATAGGGAATAAGCTATTACCGTAGTACTCGTGGTAAGACGTGGACCCGGGACCGATTTAATTTTTGGTTTTGAGGTCCCTAGAGGCCAAAAACACCATCCGTTCAAATTCATATATATATCTATCTGTTAGCTTGATAACTCGAGCAAAAATGATATGATTTGATTGAATTTGGTATAAACGTATAAACCTACATTTATTCAAACGAGTTCGCGAACCAGCATGATCAGACTATGGGAACGGAATTTAGTATATTGAAGCGTTATTGGCCTAATGGTTACGGAAAAAATTCAAAAAAATTGTAAATTTAAAATTCTCATGTTATTCTTATGGAGAATAAGTCAACTGTCGTAGTTTGCTTGTTTATAAACATATTTTGATTTGACCCAATTTGGAAATTACATTAATTTCTTACTAAACTACAGTATTAACATTTTACAAACAAAATTACCCTCCCAGTTGCAGCAAACCTAAGTTCTCGTTAAACAATTTCTATTTAAATAGGGAATAGCCTAAATGTGATATTTTTAAGGAGACATTTTAGTGTAAATCCAATCAGGCAAATGGAAATTCGCTAAGTCCGCAGGTTTGCTGTGGCGGTGGTATTTTCATCAGTTCGGTGCAAAGTGTGCAGTAATTTGTAAGGGTTGAAAATATACAGGGTGAATTTTAAATGAGTTCCCCCCCTACTTTTTTCTACATTTCTTAAGATATCAACTTCGGACCACGTCAGATCATTGTAGTGTAGTAAGTATTTCATTTTGACTGGGTAAACATTTTTGGCCGCCATCTTGGATCCGCCATATTGGATACAAAGTTTTTTTTTTCAAATGTAAAGGTAGGGTTGTGACCCATTGTTTCAAGCTAGAATTTTACGCTGATTACAATGCCGCAATTAGTTTTTAAAAGTCTTGATCCGTTCTAAAGTTATGAGGACTTTTTATAACTTTATTTTCAGCCCATTTTAACATTGTGCATTTACAAATTAAGGCCATAATCCCAAAATAGTGCTAGATAAAGATAAGTATACACCACCATTCATTGTCGACCTATTATCACTTGGTTATGACGGATTTATTTTTTTCGGCCGCCATCTTGGATCTGCCATTTTGAAATGTGATAAATTAATTTAAATATGAAGGTGGTGATGTGACCCATCATTTTGAACTACTTTTTTATGCTGAACTCAATGCTGCAATCCGTTTTTGTTTCTCAGGCTTTCTTGATGAGATATTAAAATTATCTTACTTGAATTTCCAATATTTCAAAAAACCAAATATGAAAATGCAAAACGGATTGCGGCATTAAATTCAGCATAAAAAAGTAGTCTAAAATGATGGGTCACAACACCACCTTCATATTTAAATTAATTTATCACATTTCAAAATGGCAGATCCAAGATGGCGGCCAAAAAAATAATTCCGTCATAACCAAGTAATAATAGGTCGACAATGAATGGTGGTGTATACTTATCTTTATCTAGCACTATTTTGGGATTATGGCCTTAATTTGTAAATGCACAATGTTAAAATGGGCTGAAAATAAAGTTATAAAAATTCCTCATAACTTTAGAACGGATCAAGACTTTTAAAAACTAATTGCGGCATTGTAATCAGCGTAAAATTCTAGCTTGAAACAATGGGTCACAACCCTACCTTTACATTTGAAAAAAAAAACTTTGTATCCAATATGGCGGATCCAAGATGGCGGCCAAAAATGTTTACCCAGTCAAAATGAAGTACTTACTACACTACAATGATCTGACGTGGTCCGAAGTTGATATCTTAAGAAATGTAGAAAAAAGTAGGGGGGGAACTCATTTAAAAATTAAAATTCACCCTGTATGTCTTCATTTGTTTCCTTATGAGTATTTGTTTTTCATTGTGTTTGTTTGTAAAAACTTAATCATTATATTTTGCTTTCTGTGGGTCATAATGGTCTTCTTTCTGGCAAGTCGTATTTTTACATAAAATATCTAATGTGGTAACTTGTAACAATTTGTTTTAAGATTGTGATCAGTCTCTGTATTGATCGTAAACATTTCAAAACAAATTCTCTATTATTATTTGTCTTATCTTCTTGGAAGTTTACTTTGAATTTTCATTGGTTCTGTTGTGTATTCAAAAGATTGAGTCGTATCGTTTTTCTTGTTTTAATCCTAGAACCTCATGGTTGTTTTTCTTTGTCTTTGTTCGATTGTTAGTTTAAAAGTAGGACTTGGCGTTTTCCTCTTTAAAAAGTAGAGACAATTTTGTGTTGATTTTTTAAAAGTTGATTTATAAGAAGGAGAAAGGTCTATTTGTTCTGTTACAAAAAGGTATTTTTCTCATCATAAAATAACTTTTATCCTTTTAGAACCGAGCCACAGTGGTTGTCAGTCTTTACCTTAATTATGTATATATTTAAATAAAAATCATTATTCAAATTGTAAACATTATTTTATGTCCCACTTGATGGTTCCTTTTTTATTCCTTGTTGTAAAACATCACCAAGTGCGGTAGAAATTCAAATTCTTACATTATTTGTTGAAGTAAAATTTCTTCAATCCTTCGTTTCCTCATCATAATTTCCTTTGTTGAGATCATCCCTCAATTTCCTTGATACCTTTTTGCAAAAGCCCATGTGGCAGGCAAAGTAAAGAAATTCCAGATTATGTTTGGACAAATAAATAATGAATTTGACTTTCCATTGTTATTTCTTTTCCTGTGGTCTTAATCTGTCTGGATGTTAAGTCACATATCGTAGGTGTAAATGGGCTGATGTCAATAATATTGTTGTTGTAAATGTCTAATGTTGGTGTTGTTAATGTCTGAAACGACATATTGTGGTTGGTGTGAATGTCTGATGTCAGATATTATTAGTGTGAGTATCTGAAGCGACATATTGTTGTCAGCGTGAATGGTTGATTTCAAGATATACATGTATGTCTGATGTAAAAAATTGTTGGCGTGAATATCTTACGTCACATATTGTTAGTGTGAATGGCTTATGTCAAATATTGGTTGTTTGAATGGCTGAATTGAGATTTTGTTGTTGTGTGTCATTTCTCATAACTGGCGTTACTGATGTTTGTTTGGTCAGCAGGCGTGATGCTGAATGGATACGGAGGGCTGGTGGACACCCACAAGACGCATTCTCCTGATGATAGCAGTCTAAACACTGAAGGTAACTAATTGATCAGCATGGTCATTTGCCTGTCTCTAACTTTGTTTGGTTGTGTCTGTATTTCTTCTTCAGCCATTTTTATGTTAGGCCGGGGCCACACAAGGTGGTTTTGCCGTGCGAAGTTAAGCCGCGCCATCAATGTCCAGCCACACAGAGCGGGTGAACCGCTTTCTGTTGGTTTTTTCCCAGCCCACGTACTGCAATAAAACATAGTCCATTTAACTCGTAGAAGTCATGGACGAAACACTTATGTTAGCTCGTGCATTAGAAGCTGTTTGTGAGCTGGAACCAAAGGTTAACAGAAATCACTGGGTACATCCCTTCATATCGGATAACCCATTTGTGTGTCAAACCTTTAACGAGCAAATGCGAAACCATAGATGGGAGTTTTTTTGGTTATTACCGTATCAACTTGTCCATATCAAACATTGTACATAATTGGTAAACAAATGCACAAACCACAAACTCTTTCAAAACCACTAGAAATGCCTGAAGAAGAGCACCAAACGCGCGGTCGAACCGTTATTTTTTTGTCTTTTATAAGACTGTGTGTCATCCCCTCCAAAGGGAACTTAACTTCACGCGGCTCGGATAAACTTCGCCTCTTGTGGCCACACTCATTTGATTCAATATGTTGACGAAACCCCCATAACTTGGCGCGGCAAAACCACCTCATTTGGCCCCGGCCATAGCTATCCAATTAACCACTATGACTATTTTATGAATATAAATTTTGGTTTTCAATAGCAATTTAATAATGATTCTGATAAGAATAGGAAGTGCCACACGTCATCATTATTTTAATAGTTATACCCTTGTAAATCATTTTGATAGCCCCAGGATTGCGTTTTATGACTAATTATGGTAAAAAGGTACCTTGTCAGATAATCCTTAACATGTATTGTAGTGTCAAAACTTACTTGCAACATGGTTTTTTAACTCCACCATCGTCAGGCTACACTAAAATTACAGAAATCCAAATTCACTCAACATATTATTGACAATAACCATGATATGCTGGATATAAATGACGGTCTCGACATTCTACATTACTGTGGGAGAGGAAACTTATTAAATACTTTGGAAGAGTTTGAAATATATATAGTCTTAAAAACCAGGGACAGCACACACATTTTGAATGTAAAATTCAATTATGATTCCCATTATATTTTCAACACTCTACTCCGTCACTACAATTGTCCAATTTCAGCTGTTGATAACGCAGACGACAATCCAGAGTCTACATCGGTCCTTCATAACCTGATTCTACTTCAGGTCTACTTCCTGTAATCGTTTCAGTTCTACTGGTTGGCTATGAATTTCCATCTCCCTAGAAATATTACCAGGACTTTTCTCATACAATTATTGAGTTAATACATTGTCTGTTGTGGTGGGATTAGGTGTAAGCCCTGTAGCAACTCTCTGCAACTTGGGGAACACGTGTTTCCTAAACAGCGTACTGTACACTCTGAGGTTTGCTCCTAGCTTCCTACACAACCTCCACCATCTTGTCGCTGATCTCACCGAATTGAGCGGAAGATACTCACATTTAAAGGTAACACCCTTTACTATTAGTAGCACTAGACGCCCATCTCTTGTTAAAGTTGTTGCCGGGTTTTTGAATGAAAATGGACATAGTTGCGTTGAGCCACCAAATTTACGCCACAAAATCAAATCATGTTTATACACATTATACAGGGTTGGGCAAATGTGTGGATACCCCAAGTTAACTTTGTAATGGGTGACACCAGGAAAACTATACTTCACATACCTTTATAAAAATTAAAACTGCACCTTTTGGACGGTATCCCAATTTTTCCTGGGACCCCATAATGGAGTATTTTGGGGGTAGCTCAACAATTTTAAATGTAAAGCCCCATCGAGTGACACCTCATTTTAAAGACCTTTATTAAAGAAGAATATCAGCAAAAAATAGAGGTCCCTATCTCAACCCAGTACGACATGGCGGTCATTTTAAATTTTCATAAGCCTGAGAGAAACTTTTAATGAGGTTAAATTGTACGATGAATTTTCAAATGACGAGTCAGCGCACCATCACACTAGATCGGCAGGAAGTGGGCGGTACTGAAACGACTGCTCTCGTGGGAAAGATTTTTGACCAGTGATCACGTGTCTACTAAATAAATACAATGCTCTCCTAAATTTAATTCAAATATCACAGTAAACAATTTTAACAAGTTTTTGGGGACGTCGGTTTAACCGGAAAACCCGTTATCCGGACTGGCCTCGGTTCCGAGGAGTCCGGATAAGTGGGAGTCTACTGTATAAATATAACAAATTATATGTAACCTGTTAGATACTTTTTGTATACATCGTGTTTCTAAACTGTCTCAAATGCTATTAGTTATTAATACTGCATTAGAAAATAATATTAATATCTTGATATTGCGTAGAAGAAAAAACCAACATGGATAGTTGGCATTTTCAATAGTTTTAGTAGTTTTAGTAGTTTTTATAGTTGGCATTTTTTGGGTGTTGACACCCTCCAAATATTTGTATAAGCTAGAAGCAATATTTATGGCCCTTAGCTGTCAGATTATCATTAAACAGCTGTGTATATGATTTTTAAGCGAAACATAAACAGTTTGTTGTGTTATATTTAAGTACCAAAATTACTATTGTTGTATTTGACATAGAACAAGTCATCGTCTTTGGGACGTGGAATCGGAGGCGGGAGCAAGAATTGGAGCAATAAGGACCTTTCCACCATGGGTCAAGAAGACAAGACCGCAGTGGCGACGCTGAGATTACATGAACTATACGAGGCCCTCCACCACACGGAACTGAAGGACCACATTGAGCCTTACCAGCCTGAGATCTTCTTGACTGCCTTGAGGTAAGTCCTAGAGAAAACAAACAAGTTCATATAATAAATTAAGAATTGTATTGAACTGGGCCTACTTCAAACTAAGTGTAACATTTAATTTATGACTGAAAGAGGATACAAATAAATAGCATGCTATTCCATTTAGAAATAAAAAATATGATAGTTAGCTAAGAAAAATCATTGAGATGATAATCTTAAAATTCAGATTCTGTTAAGGGCTTTCTTAATTGTAGAGGTTGTCTGTTAAATCAGACACTGTTGCATCCGGAAGAGGCCAAATATTTTTTCATTGAGTTTTTTGTCCTTCAACTCAAAATAGTCCTGCTATGTGAGCATTAATTCGGTTGGTCCATTACACTATTTGAGGCTGGGTAATAAACATCAAAACCACTTAAAAATAGCATAAAATTTTTATTTTAATATCAGAGATCTTGTGAAGGAAAGATTATAAAACTGTTGATATTTTTTTTCTATCAAGTTACCTACTTAATGAAATGTATAACTAAATTTAAAAGTTCAAAAAGGCCAATATATAATAAATTATTTTATTTTTATTTTAAATTATTTTAATTTATTATATATTGGCCTTTTTGAACTTTTAAATTTAGTTATACATTTTATTATTCATTGCCAATATCTCCAATACAAGTTACCTACTTAAATTAAATCATATTATATTACACTTTACAGTTTACATTAAATATTTTAGTGAGTCGGTGACTCAGTCGGTAGTGTCGCGGACTTCGGGCCCGAGGCAGCGATGTCGTGGGTTCGGATCCTGGTCACTGCCGATAACACTTTATCAGTACAGTTCACCTTTGTACTGTACCGGCTCACTCCTTGCTTTGCTGTAAACGATCCACGCACGGGCGCTTAGTCTATGTGGAAAGGCAAATGCAAGTTAAAAGAGGCCGCCAACCTCTTAAAAAAAATATATATATATATACATATTGGGAAAAAATTAATTTCAGTTCTCACTAATTTATAGCCTATGTTGTGAAAATTCAGTATAACTCATCCTACACTCATCTACATTCATACTTGGCTTAAAATACCTACTTTGTAAATATTAAAGATTAGCCGAACAGATTTAATTTCTATTTCCTTGGGCGTGAGCTCTTCTAGTGATAGAACGCAGGACTTCTCTTTAAAGAAGCTCACCTCTGGAATTCAAATGCTATGTTCTACGGTTATGAGCTGTAAGCAACATATGATTTTGGCAGGGAGGTGAATCCCATCTTCGAAGGCAACCAACAACATGATGCTCATGAGCTGTTGGTATGTCTGGTTGATACAATGAGAGAGACTTGTCGTCAACTCTGTGAGCTTCACGAGAGACAGAGGTGTATCATACCTCAACCTCCTCCCCCCACCTGCCCACTGCCTCCGGCTAAGAGCTCCTTCTCCTCAAATGTACGGAAAAGTCTCAAACTAGGAAAGACCAAGAGCAACGGTGTGTTGGACAAGAAGAATCCTCTTAACGGTACGTTCATTGTTGTGAAATTTTATAATTTACGGTTTAAACAGTATGTGTTTAATTTGGTTGAGAAATAAACAACAATATTTCATCCAACCTAGAAACTGTGGATAATGGAAATTTCAGATGAGTTTTCATGATCGGGAGTAGTCTGTGAATTGCATGTAGGTTTGGATTTGTAATAGTGATTGGTTGGTACTTAACGTCAAATGTCGGTTCCAAAAATTCTTGGGACCGAGAATCGATGGTGAAATGTCGGTACCGATACCTTTGGTACCAAGATTTACAACATTCAAATTGTCAACCATGATGATTATATTTTACTTAAGGCTATTTGAAAGGGCATATTTATCATGAAATATCAATAGTAGGCTATAGGATGATTATTTCAGTGTTAGTTAAGTTGTCTTCACTATCGTCAGCTGATAGAGTGGTGCAAACATAGACTGCAATTGCTCCACCATCTTCAAGCAGAAGACAGAAGGCAAGCTTAATAAAGACTGGATAAAAATGGTTTATTTGGACTCAACAACATTATTACACTACCTTAATACCATTCTTTCCTTATCTGAGGTTGATTAATAATAACATTAATAATACTGTAGTTAGAAGTTAAAGGATTATTTTATTTAATTCGTACAGCTCTTTATTTTACTTTTTTTGCACGAACTATGGAAATACAGAAGCGCTGAATGTACGACTCGAACCTCAAATTCATTCCAGTTAACTCTATTACTGTTTGACTCAGTCCATTCCAGTCAGTGGCTGAATTCATATTTTTAGGCAATGGTTAAATGTTAGGTTATTGATGATTTCGACGAATTAACCACCGTGACAAATGGCAACACATTGCGCAAGACTACTATTTTCAATTTCAAGCTCAACGGTAAAATTTATTTATTGATGGATGAAACTAAATGGCTACATGACAAACAGCAAAGCCTTCATTCAGCAAACCAAAACGAGCTTTTATTTATTGTTTGTATGCTTTGTTCAGTATTTTCAGTAGTTAGTCTGCAGGTTTGCTGCGGCGGGGGTATTTTTAAATTTAATTCATTAATCATTTTCAGATGGACCTCTGATCTGTGAGCAGCCCTTAACCCAAAATGACGAAGAGGGGCCTCGAGTAGCAAATAACTTCATTTCTGAGGATTTTGAAGGTGTTATGCTTCTCTATACGACTTGTCTAGAGTGTGAAAGGACAAGCCAACTTTCAGAATCTTTTATCGACATATCTGTTCCCATCACCGCCCCAAGTGGTCCGTGTGGTAAGTCTTCTTACTCTTCACTTAAGCTGTGCAAGAACCAACATAGATAGAGAATCTGCATACTGTCACACAAGGCATTGTCCCTCAATGCTACCATGAAATTTGAACAATATGTAAGATATAGGTTTTTGGTAGCTTTAAGCCACAACTGAGGTTTTTGATAGTTTAAACTCTTCTGTTGTTTCAACTTTTATCGCACAGTGTAAAAGTATAAAGCAGAAAAAATAGATACACAACTAAGAAAAGAGTCCCAAGCAGATGATAGCAGAGTTGTGTTGTACAGTAGACGCTCGCTGATTCGGCATGTTCAGGACTCACTGTATAATGTAACTTGCTTAAATGTAGTTTTTTTTGTTTTTTTTGACAATTGTGGTTAATATAAAATAGTGTGATTAATCAAATTGTGGATAATCGGGATATTTCTTTACTAAATTATTAAAAGTATCTTAATGAGTTTTTCTTTTCTTTAAAAAAAGAAAAACAACGATTGTTGAGCAAAGCAAGTAGTTAGTGTACTATAGTGATAGCATTTTATTGGCTGCACTGTGACAGGAACCATGACATTTTAGTCTGTCAAGCTATCGACCAAACCACTGTCTTACAAAAAATAATTCATGTGCAAGACTTTTATTTAATAAGCAATTTTTTACCAGTGACCTCAGAAGAAGTCAGTTCACTATACCATTCGGCTGTGATAACTGAAGAGTACCTAATAGACAGTGAAAAGTATTGGTGCGAAGATTGTGGTCGGTACAATGAAGCCAGGCGTAACATCAGCTACGACACTTTACCCAGACTGCTTATCCTGCACCTGAAACGATTCAGCAGCTCTTACGGGTATGGATTGACGTACTTTTTCTACTTTATCTTTAACTTTTCCATGAGTTTGTATTGTATGACGACACTTATTTTAAATAATAAGACCGATTATAGCATAAGCTTCAAATATAAAAAAATATTTAAGTTCAGTTGTGGTAAGTAATCACCCATAAGCATAAACTCCTTTTTAAAGTTAATTTTTTGCGATGGTGAGTTTATGTTATTTAAGAAATTACTATGGTCATTTTCCATCATGATTAGTAAAAAAGTTTTCACTATGTTACAAGATTTTCTTTTACTAGTTTTGTTCGGATCCATTTACACGGACATTAACACGATTTTTGTTTTCCAGATCATGTGTTCAAAAAGTCAATGAATATATGCCAACACCTATCGAACTGAGTTGCTTCTGCAACAAATGCAAAGATCTGGAGGAGAGACTAAAACCTCACCGAGGGTATGCTTGGATTTGTTTTTACTCTAAGAATCACCCTTTATAGGCCTATCTGTTTCAAATGTGTTTCCCATATGAAATTGCTTTATACCTTCATACACATAACTCTTTGACTTCAGTTTGCTACTAGGCGAGTTACACACCGGTATCGCAGACATAATGTCGCCGATATTTCTGATGTCGCTAGCATGATGTCTACGACATATTTCATGGGAATTGGCACGTGCTGGAGACATGAAAGTTAAGTAATCATATAAGTACCGAAGCGGCACCGCCGAAACTACTAGAAACGTGTTCTTCGCTACCACGATAAATATTGGCGATATTAAACCCGCCTTAGTTTGGATTTCTAAAGAGTATTCCAAATTTAAACCATAAAATCTATTCCACAAACAAATACTAATCTAAGTCTACTGATTCCACTAGTAATTTATTAATGATTCTTGCTGATATCCAAATCTCAAAAATACATTAGGCCTGTTCACTGTGGAAAATAGCATCATGACATATCTTTAAATACCCCTGCCGCAGCAAACCTACAGACTTGGCGAATTTCAACTTGTCTGATTACATTTTTACTAAAATATTTCCAGAAAAATAAGACATATTTATTCTCAATTTAAATAACATTAGATTTAACGAGATCTTAGGTTTGCTGCTACGGGGAAGGTAAAAAGTGTTTTTTGACCATACGTCTATAGTATAGGATGAAATAAATAAATTTGCTTCATTTTGTCAAACATATATATCCATAAACAAGTAAACTACTACAGTTTTAATTTTATCCATAAGAATAACATGAGAATTTTAAATTAAACTATTTTTGAATTTACTCCGAGACCGTTAGGCATAAAACAGCGCTTCAATATACTAATTGCAATTTTTTTGTTTTCAGGGTCAAAAATGAGAAAACCCCATTTTTACCCCTTAAACCCCTATTCCCCTGGTCCGATTATGCTGGTTTGCGAACTCGTTAAAATAAACAAAGGTTAGACCTTTGAACTGATGCTAGATTACTGAAAGTGCCGTACAATCGGATGCCAGATTAGCGGGTTTTTACTGTAGACTGCTTGTTTGTTGATATGTAAGAGCAACCCTGTAATATATTACAGAGGGTAGTTATTATGTATAACTACAGCGTCTTTCACTTGCACAGGTACCAACTGTATGGGATCATCATGCACCTGGGCTCTACCCTAGCCAGTGGACACTACGTAAGCTACGTATGTGGAAGGGACACTGTCATGGACAGTGCAAACTGCACAAGAGACAAGAGAAAAACCGCTTCCCTCTCAGGAGGAGCTGGCAAACCTGCTAGTAACACGGAGAAACATGGAACACAGAAAACATTGTTTAGGTTAGTACAATATTGTTATATGGCAAACCATTCCTCATTTGGCTGTTCGGCATAGGTTTTGGTGCTATTCATTATTAAATTAATAATGTAATCTAAATAGAATTTAAAAATTTTATTGGTATTTACTTTTACATACTTCTCTTAAATTACTATTGGTAATTTAATTTTATGAGCATCAACTGGAATTTCAGGTCCATTTTCACAACTAAATAGTTTTCTAAAGGGTTCATAACCTTCCATAGTCTCTGTCACACTCACTAGAAAAGGGAACAGCTGTTAAAGATGTACTGTATAAACTAATGTGCAATGTGCTGTATACAGTCCTAGATTGAAATAATTCACTGATCCGTTGTCAAATGCCACCACCTATCGGGATGCATCATGACGAGCAGGTCTCATCAAACTATAGCAGTGTCTTATAAGCGTAACAAAGGCTTGTCAAAACACTGTGTAAAGTTAATTTGTACCCTAAAAGACCAGTTAAGAAATTTGAACGTAATAAGTTTGGTAAAAAAAGCTCGGAAATGGATAGCTACACTTTGGATAAAACAGCTTTATTGAAAATGTTAAGAGAGTGTTAAGTAAATGTAGTCTTTTTTGGGGATTTTTTGCTTTTATGTCAATCAACTTTGTTTGATTTTTAAGATCGTGAAAAATGTCAAAAAAATCTAGACTGGAAAAATTACAGCGCTCATAAAATGTGTTTTTTGTACTAGAGAGTGAGATTAGGAAGCGACTAGTGGTACTCAACATTGGCGAAGTTGAGTCACTGACATGAAGGAATTGAAGGGAGTGGGGCAGGATGAGGCAATGACCTAACTGTGTAATTTGGTGCACCGCATTAGGTTTTATTGCAACGACACATTATTCTTCAATGCCAGTTAAGCACATTGACCTTGTTAAACCCAAGTTGTAATACATAACTGTAAAAACAAATTGAAAACGCACAATTGTGTTCAAATTGCTCAACTGATTGTTCAAATTATTAAATAGAATCATGTCTTTGTAATGTTTAAAATGTGTATGAATTAAGAACTTTCAAAGTTGCTTGACTGTCAGTGTAGCTACAGATTCTTATCTTGCTGACAGGTTTTTCTCAAAGAGCTCGAAGCCTACTTACCCGAGCCCCCTAGAAAACCGAGGGCCCTACTTTTCCCCTTGTAGGAGTGCTGATTGCTGCGGGGCCAAGCTAGACACCAACGAACCTGTTTGGCTCGAATGTGACGATGACACTGTCAGGACCATCTCTAAGAAACATTTGGGGGAGCTTCTGGGGCCGAAAAACTCCAAAAACTCTGCTCTCACCCCTTACCTATTGTTTTATTCAAGGATACAGTAAGGTTCGTTGGGATTTAAGGTTGAAAGTTGTGCAAACTGTAGGATTTCACAATTTTGTTGCTCAAGTTCAGAGTACTGAGTATAGTTTTAAATATGTAAAAATATTAAGTTTTCATTTGTCTCTATAAGGTTGTTTTTATGCTAACTGATGAATCATTATTAGTTTAATCTTTTCTTGATTTTCAATTCAATCTCAAGAATTATTTTATTTTACAGTATGGAGATCAAGACTCGATCCTTAAAGTGAATATTTTGTATCTAAATACGCAAGATTCTGTAGTCTCATCCCAGTTAAACAAATGGGCCAAACAAAATCCATCTTCAAAATCCTGAATTTGGAATTTTATTTTTGCCTCTGGTTTCTGTAAAAAAACTAATCTATATTTTTTTCACATAAATTATATTCAAGCAAATAATAAAATTTTGCCATTCCCACATCTACATGTGTTTTTATTTTAAAATTGGAAATTGAAACTATTAATGGTTTAGGTATTGCAATATTTTTTTAGTGGGATTACAATCACGTACTTTTTATAACTAATTTTAAAACATGCGTTTTGTATTATCTCAGTTTAAAGTAATGGTAGGGAAATTACACTTGTTAATTAAAGTTTGATCTCATTTTATTGATATTATACTTTCCTAAACTGTTAATGGCTTTTCAAATCAAAGTATTTCATTATCTCATTTAAACTCAAAATACTCTTAGAAAGGTTGTTTCTAGTTTATTAGTCTTTAGTTGCTTCTTTATGAAATATTTATTTGTGGAGCTTTCAATGTTATTGTAACAAAAGCCTTTGAGAACAAAAACAGATTTTAGAACTAGATCAATCTTTTGTCAACTAACTATTATTATTATGCCATAGATAGAGTGTGTTTCAAGTTAAACGTTCATACATTACACATAACAATAGTTTGTAATGTTAAGTATTATTAACCAAATTCAAACTATTCTCAAATTTAGAACGACACTTTTAAAATAAGTTTGTATATATTATATTTGTATTAGTAATAAAGACTTGGTTGTAAATTAAAAGTTAGATGAAAACATGTATATAATACATTATATAATAGACATTCAGGTGTGTTTTGTAAAGGTATATGTTGAAATGTCATTATTTTATGAACAAGGACGGCACTCCCTTAATTTGTTATTGGATCAATTCACAAGTTGGTCTTTTTACTTTTGTAATCTTTCATCATCTTAGTCTTTTTTTCATAAGCAGACTATATTTTTAATTTGTTCATGCGTCACGCCTTAAGTTAAAACAATTCACAAATGATTGTCTTAAGAATTTATATTTGGCCTACTTAAGACATTTTAACATATAGACCATGATGAATTGTGGTTGCATATAAATTTAAAATACATGTTCAAGAGATATTGAAGAAAATTTAAAACTACCTAACTGCTAGTCCCTATTACACTACAAAAAATACATTGAAGAATAATCATTAGAAAATAAAAGGGAGTAAGGTAAAAATATAAAATAAGCACCCTAATAAATAATAATAATATTATTGAAAACATTAAAAGCTACTACATTTTATAATGCTCATAAAATCATACACAGGCAATCCAGCTATTATCCAACAAGATTTGTGTCATAAGCTTAAAACTATTTAATCATGGTTATTTTATATAATCAATCTTCTACTTTAGACGGACTTTTATCAATTACGTTTTAAATCAAATACTTACCCTATTACTTATATATTACTGGAAGCCCTCTAAGTTACAAAAACAGGTGACCTGTAACAGCAGGATACAGTGTTAAAGTTTTTTTAGGCAGCTCACCTTGAAATCATATTTAGGCCTGACAACATTATAAAACATTCCACACTAAATGTTAAATGTTAGATCAAGAATACCTTTATTTGGTAAAAAGTAGGAGGGAGTTGGTTAATAGCTATTCTGGCTCATTAACATCTACAACCCTGTGTATGTATTTGTACATTGAAAAAAGTTTACCTAGCCAAAGCTGTATGTAAGTGACTATTATATTTGCATTGTCTCCTCTTTTCAGTGACGGCACTGTAGTTTGACAGTGTTCTGAAGTTGGCCTTAGTAGTCTTCCTTTAAGTGCACAATAGACGTCAATGAAAATATAAACTGATGATTTTTCTAAATCTGTTTGAAAACAATTTTATGATTTTTCACGTTTAATTTTCATATGATTGTTTGATGATGGATTCAGCCATTTTTCAGTAGACTCTCAGTTTACATGTTCATTGTTGAAGGGCTGCCTTTGCAGCAGACTGTAACACATCAATCTATTGTTAAATGAAATTGTAAATACAAAACTGTCATTGTCAGTTCAGCTTGTCAAACCTTGTTCAAATTCTCTTTTTTGTCATATATTATGTTACACAGTCGTGAAAAACATCCTATCCCGTAAGTTTGTCTCTATTTTTTACACATACATACCAACATTTCTGCCACAACTCTGATTCTTCACTGTAGTGGATTAGATGATTATTCGGTTCCTGTCAAACCACAATCATATCTGTCAGGGGCAAGTACAGCCCTTTCAGTCTCTTCAACCGATTTACACATAGCACAGTATGAATAAAGGATACACAGTATAGCAAAAACTAGGCATAGATTTAAATTGAAAACAATAGTTAAACAGTAATGAACCATGATGGTTGGTGGGTGACAGTGCACTGCAGACTGCCGGTTTAAGTGATCTTCATTATTGTGTCCATCGAAGACATTATAATATCGAAAGATGGATAATTTTAAGCACCTGACGGATGATTTTGGCTTAATAGGAGCTGAAACCCAGGTCATCGACTACAAGGAGAAAGATGGAGTCAGATCTAAGGCAGAAAATGTTGTTTGTAAATTATATCAAACAGCTCTGTTGGCCAATCTCGATGAATAATTTCCCACATATGTTGGGTCCCCATTCAGTCCTAACCTCATTTGTCCTAAACATCTCAAATCTCTCTGCTTGAATTGAAACAGTACACAGTAATCTTCAAAAATATATAACTATACATTCATGATGTACTGACATAGAGCAATAAGAAAAATAAGGAATGCATGTTAATTATTCTTGCTTCAAAATACTTTCATAAAGGGCTCTTGTATAAAATTGCTACATTGTGAATTAGTACGATAGAATTCTTTCAGCCTGCTAAAAGTGCTCAATCTGTTGTCTGATGCTTGGTATTTCTCTACCATGTTTGCCGTTCAGCCAAACAACAACTGAACATGTTTATTGAATCTGAAAGAAAACTAAATTGATGTTTTATTTGGTAGTAAGTCTTTTTGTGTTGCTTGGAAAAAGTACAAAATGTTTCCTGTGTTTCATTTTAAATCAAAGTGTTTTAACAAGGGTGGGTATGATAGTTCAATTTACCACTGTGATAAATGGATATTTATTTATCGATCTTGTTAAAAGCTTATCGTTACTCTTTAGACTAAATTCAACTTTACTGAAAGAACGTAATCTCATCAAGTAAACACGATCAATGTTCTGGTTTTCAGGTCAGCGTAAGTGAAATCTCTCAAGAGAAAGAAGATGACCTTTTAAAAGTATTATAGTTTTAACTTTTGTTAACCGTCATAGTTAGGAGAGCTTTGTTTAATCCATTTTTTATTCCATAATAGTGTTGTCCGGTAGTTTTAATTTCTAAGAACAATTAATTGTAATACTTAGGTTACTAAAGATACTACAGTAGAGAGTTGATTATCTGAAACAATTTGAGGAAATTGGCTGTTCGCATAACTGTTTTTTTCTTTGGATAATTGGTCATTGACAGTAAAAATTAGATATATTTTTTAACTTTGATAACATTTAAACACCTTTTTTATGTTTACATTTGTATTTTTACAAGTTTTGTCGACTTTAGCATCGGTGACCATATCTTGCAGTCTCAGTAACAACGACGATCGTCTGCCGCAATAGCGTAAACGACCTTGATTATATCTTGCCGTCTCGGCATCACCTCTTGCGATCCCGGCAACACCGGTGATTGGCCTTTTGGTTAGCTAATGTTTTGGATAATCGACGCTCTACAGTAATAGTATGTTATGCAATTTTAAAGTTTGAATGAGTTTTAAAGTAGTGACAGGTGATATGCTACCCAAGACTTTTTATATTTTCATTGTTTTGTCATTTTACTGTGTTCCCAAGCATTTAATAAAAGTATTATGCAATGTTCTTAAAGTTAACATTGTGTCCAAACTCTTGTTTACGTTTTTATTTTAAAATTCTAGTTTCTTAAGTTTTCAGGACAAATATTAACCCTTCCCGAGCGTTGGCCGTATATTTATTTATTTAATTTAATGTCAGTACATCATAATAACAGTACATATTGCCAATGGTTAAATCAAAGACTTAAAACTAATAGATAAAACTAATTAATCTGTTTTTACACAAAAACAACTGGATCTTCCCTAAATATAATTTTTACATGTCAAAAATTGAGCTAGGAGTGGGTAGGTTTATTCATACCTAATTCCAACTCAATCGTATATATTTTAGATTAGTTAAGATTAAATGATCCGAATTTTGAAGAAGACATGATTGAATTATCGAATCGGAGTATTACTGAAAGAAATGCCGCTGTTCAGCTTTCTGAACACTCTGAAGATTCAGACAATGAGTTTCAGTACGTAGTTCAGGTGGTATCAGAAGCTAACTATGATATAAGCGGTCTTGAAGTGATGCAGGGTGTTGAACGTTATGATGAAGATAACATGGATGTACATTTTGAACAAAGTAGCTTTCGTGCTGGTACACTTGATTTTGTAAATAAATAAATGTTATGAAAACGATGAAAATTAATAGAGGCCTGGGCCTTCTGAAAAAAGCTTTACTCTTAAGACGGAGGAGTGTAGCAAACCTAAGGAACTGAATCTAGATCATGGTCAAGATGTTAGTGTTGTTGGTTATGGTAGGACTACAACAATGTCTGATGATGAAAATGAATCAAAATGAAAATGAAGTGGGGGAGGCCTCTGCATTCACAAGTAATCAACAAAACTGAAGATAAGGCCAAGGGGACAGACGAAAAGGAAAAATACTCCCGCCACAGCAAACCTGCAGACTAAGCTAATTTCCATTTGCCTGATTTGATTTTCAATTAAATCTATTTCAATAACGTTACGTTTAAAAACCATCTTTACCCCATAAAACCCCCCTTCCCATAGTCTGATGATGGTTCGCGAACTCGTTCGAATAAATGTGGGTTTACACGTTTATACAAAATTTCATCCAATCGGATCATTTTTGCTCGAGTTATCTTGGTAACGGACACATATGTAAATTAATATTAAAAGTAAATTGTTCCCCTGTCCAGGTCTTAACATGAGAACTACGGTAATAGCTTATTCCCTATATGGGAAATTTGCTAAAAGTGGAAAGGAACAGCACCTAGAATGGGCACACGCACAGGCACATGTAAAATTATGGCCATAAAACTTGTAAAAAATTATTTTAATAAAAAATGTGTCTACAATCAATATTAACCATTAGATAAAAGTAAAAAGCATCAAAATTTCAAAATCAATTTTTTAACCCCAACCAAATAATTGATCGCGTTGTGAGAAGGGCTCGCCATGCAGCCGCTACTCGGGAATGGTTAAAACAATTTTGTAAGGCATTCAGGGAAACTGAATGTAAATGGTGATAACAAATCTTACCATCGTTCACTCACTCGGTTGGTCATTCAGTATTGTAGTGTCAAGTGTAAAACTGTTAAAAAAATAATTTAACAGGAGAATATTGTTTTCCTTCCTTGTTAGGATCATATGATGATCATCAGAGTTCACAAATAAGACATTTCTTTAGTCGGTAGGGTTAAACTTGTAAATGTGTATAGATTAATTTATCGTTTCTGTTAATAACACATATAGAAACTGGCTTTTCTCAATATTCTGAAAAATATGCAATTTAGAATGAATGGTTTCACAATAGCTTCTGTGGGTTGTAATATGAAATTATTAAACTTTTTAACAAGTCCATTTAAGAGCTATTTTGCACTGTCATTGAATGGACTGTAAAATAACATTCCGATATGTGATATATACAGTAACTTAGCCGTAGGAGTCCTGTGTTGCAAGTTTATAGTCACAATAAAGAAAACAGTAAATTTCTAAAAAGTAATTACATATGAAATATAGTTTGCTACAAAGTTCTATTTTAATTTTTCGTTGACAAAGCAGGCTCACCTGAATTGGTAAGAGCCGATCCAGTGCAAGAAAAGTAGTCTGTAAAGCAAGTTGGGCCAGGGTAGACTCTTTCTTAATTAGGAAAGCCTGTTATTTAAACAAAACTAATGTTTTATGTCTATATTACAACATTAATCCCATTTCACCTTGTTTGGGGCGAATATGAAGGGTGATTATGGAAGACAGTAAAGTTATATCGTTCTGTTATGTTAGGCCCACTTTCAAAAACCTCTTTGCTTTTAACTAGTTACGGAAAACATGACCCAGTCACAAATATTAGATGTTTGACGAACATGTGACTAGCAACACTGCACTCCAATTCTTCCCTACATAGTATACTACTATTAGTCACTCTAGGGCTAGAAGCACAGCTTTGTAGTTCGATGCTTTTGAAAACAATTATTATAAAAAATCAAAATTAATGTTAGATAAGTATTTAAAATGTGATAAGGAAATTGTTATGTAAATAATATGATATTTTTATTGTCACTAATGTACATTATTATATGTTTAAAAGGTGTTGTTAATGTCAATAAATTGTGCTTTGTTTCGTCTATGTGTGTGTTTTCTGAACTGTGTCATCACATGAAACCCAAATTTACCATAAATATTTCTTAAAAGTTTCTTTAAATGTTTTTGAGTTGTAGGATCCCATAGATATTAAAACCTGTGACGGGGCAGATTTTGTGTGTAGGACAAAAAGGCTAATTTCTTTTTGCAAAAACATTGTGATTTTCAAAGTTGTATACCTTGACTATGTACCCCTGTGTGGTGATGCCTGCAGGGTTTGTATTGCACCACTGTTTCTGTTACAAAGGAATTGATTTTTTAAAGCTCTATCCTTCGCAAAAATACTTTTGGGAGTCAATCTCAATATTTCTTACATTAGCCTTTTTAGACGTATCAATCATATAGGCCTAAAGTTCGATTCACACACATCAATTCCAGCACGTCACAGTTCTGTTACCCAAGTCATAAAATTTATTCTTTAATACATTTTCTTTTGCGATATCTATTCTCACCTGATGCAATTCCGACTCACGTCCATCAGTCAATTTAAGATTTCTTCCCACCGATATTTTGGGATTGTTCAGACGTATGATGTATGTGTTTGAGGTTAAAAAATAATTTTTTAAAATAAAATTGTGTTTTTGTTAATTAAATTACTGTTTGTGACAATCAACAATATGGATGATGAAAATTTGATAGAATATTGTGTTTTTTTTTTATCTTGTAATAATCACTGTAAATAAAGTGATGGAAGACTGAACTGATGTGTGTAAATCGACCTTAACCATTGTGTGATACAGTCTATTTCTTGATGATATATCTTATAGCAAGGTTAGACATTTCTGTATGCTCTTGATGCGTTAACTTTAAATAATAAATGTAACTAAAGGTGAACAAACATGTTATTCAACCTCAGATATTTGTGTCATAAATGTGTGTAACCAGTTAATCAGAGTAGGAAGAATATCAAAACCACACAGTTTCACAACACCATAACGGCCATAGCTATTTATTCTCTTAATTGCAAAACATTATTACAGTGAAAATTAAATACAACTATTGACAAACTGAAAGAAATAACTAAATAATGACACTTAAGTAAGAGTAGAATACAATGGGATTTTAATGAAAAATTGAAACAATACATTGAAAATAAGTCAGATTGAACTCATAACTGAATGAAGCCTAAAATTTCTCAACTAAAATAAACGTGTTGTTATTTATGTATGTCTAAGTTTGTGTCCATCGACTTATTTCAATAAACTTTGACAGACTAAATTTGAAAGATAGGAAAAATAGGCTCACCTATTAAATACATAAAATATCCATACTACTAGCACTAGATATAAAAATAGTGACCTATGTAATTAATGGCAACAATAATCTAGCTCTGGCTACAAACATGGACCTTAAAACAGTGTAAGATTATTTAATTCGGGTTCATCATTATAACTTAAATTTTACCATTCACTCATTTGCAAATGGGATACTGTCAATGGTAACTAATTAAAATGTGCTAATTCAAAAACCACAAGGAAGAGAAAATAAAGTTTCTAGTACAAGTACACACAAATTAGATTTAAAGCAACGTATATTATTATTGAAAATATTGCTTATACCACTTTTTTGAAGGCATTGGTACTACTTGAACACATTCAAACAATTCAAGAATCTTGACGAATCAAGGGTTTTCACTCATAAAAAACTATATAATTATATATCAATATATGATTGATATATGAATCAAGGTTAGATAGTATTCATATCTTTTATGTGGTCTTCGTTAATTTTCAATAATTATTAGTTGAACGTTTAGGAGATATTTTTATTTAACATATGTTTGAATGAAATGGTAGGTTGACTCTTGTCCTGAAATGTGATGCATATTCACTAGCCTCTGTCAGTGATTGATCTCATGTTCTCCAGGTTATATTGTAAAAATAGGCAAATCATTGTAGTACTGTTAGTAACTTTTGTTAAGCTTCTGATATTAACCAAGTATTTGTTCTTACTTTATGAACTCAATTCTTTATTCAAAAATATACATACACTGTCTCACAATTAATCTGTTTGAGATTGAAATTAAACTCCACCTGATGACATAATGTTTCATAACTAAAACAAAGATAAAATGTTGTTTGTACGCAACAAAATAGCGAAAAGAAAGATTAGTTCACACAAATCTGAATACTAAAACATTTCAATGACTACATTTACTGCAGATGTCAAATTATTTAAACAAACTCATTGTAATAAAACTGAAACGCATAATATTTTTTTAAATCCTATTTTAAAATGTTGTGATGACTTGAATTAGCATTTTGTTGACCAAATATCACCATGAGAGTAACTTACAATTAATATATAAGGCAAACTAGATACTTTTAAGATTGTCACTTAATCATACTCTATCAAACTAACAGTGGAAAACAATGTGAAAACTAAAAAAGAAATGTTATCTTTGAGTACAGAAAAATAAACTTTTCTCCTGAAAAACAAAAGAAAAACACATTGAAAATTTGAAATGGATTCAAAGACGAGATTGGTTTAGAGCTAAATTGAATGTGACTGACACGCTTGTCTCCCTCCTCGGAACTCTCATCATAATAATTTATCTAACTGTACAATACTTATACGAAATATGTTATATATTTATTCATCTACTCTATAGTTACTCTTTAATAATGAATCTACTGGTCTAACTCTAAAATTGAAAGACATAAGAGTGTTTATAAATATTCAAAACAAAAGAACAGAAAGAACTTCGGACAGTCTCACACAGACCCGAAAACTACAAGTGGAAATCACAACAATTCAAACCGGTAGTCCAACGATAAACACTAACCAAAGTTGACAACGCAATAATCGTTAAACTACCGACACAACAATCAAATAAAATTAAGAAACATAACAAACACAAAGTTGCGCCAGTATCACAATGGTCAAGTGTTCACTTGCGTGGAGAGAACTTGGGGTTGGTTGGGCCGTAAGTAAACGAGCGCATTTCACAGGCAGTGTCGGCTGTGTGACCTGAGGCAGTATCCATGTCTGACTTACGAAAGATTATCATACGGATATCCGTGTGGAGAGTCAGACGCCCTGACTTAGAACTGGCAAATCTGTCACAGAAAACCCAACATATGTTAATTAACATGTCCATCATCTAATATAAATAAAAGGTCTATCTTTGATCAATAAAAAAACATAAGAATTACTGGAAACTCACTTTTCAACACACATAAAGTAACTTATAACAGCAATTTTGTTGAAAATGATTCATCTAGCTTACTCTAGGGACCAAGAGATAAACAAAAAGTCACAATACAAAATTAATATTTTGTCCTGTTATAGGTATTCTTCACAGAGTAGATTGTAGAGAAAATGTAGACTGTTATATAAAGTAAGCTAGCTGACCTATATCCCCACTCCATTAATGCCTAATCAGCCACTTCTTATAAAATATGTGAGGTAGATAAGAAATTACTTAACTTTTGCACTACTTGCTTCACGACATTAAGTCATTGTAGGCTAATAGATTTTTGGTAGACATAAAATACTAAGTATCTCAAGTACATGTGAAGCTTGTGAAAAAGTTGCAGCACATATTGCATTGTTCAAGGTAAATGCATGGTGTTTTCTGATTTGTAACATAGCCTACATTTCCTTTGAATATTTTTGGGTGTCAAATTAAAAAAAATATTAGAAAGAAACAAATTTTCATAAAAGAAGATACTCATCATTTAAACGGTGATATGTATTATTTTAATTTCAACACTAATATTTAATGTTTATTTGGATTTTTGTATTTAGGTTGAATACCATTTTGAAAATATTTTGATCTCCACTTTGTGTGGCATAATACTCAAGGTGTATAAATTCAAGATTAATATAAATGAAAAACCAATTAACTATTAATATTTGGAAGAAGAGTGTCTACCAGTCAGTAGCCTATAACAGAAAATTGTTACTTTTCAAAATCTATTGCTGAAGTTTGTGATAAGCATGTAGAGAACATTTCTTGAACTTCAGAAACCATCATTATGTACATTACGAAAATATATAAATGCATCCTGTAATTTACATTTTTACTAGACCTACTATACTTGCATGATTTACAATAAATTATAGTGCTATTACAATTTTATTCTAAACATTGGATGAAGAATGGGAAAAACTGTTTTGCTGGGTTATAAAATATGGGTACTGTATTTTAACTATTTCATTTTAGGGCAGTGATAAAAATCAGACACTTTGAAGGCCTTTACATGTAAAGCAGTGACTTTTTAGTTACACCCGTAACTGTGACCCGCTTGTAAAATAAATCACTCTGTAATTTAAAAACCCCTTAGTTAAAGAAACCATTCTTCAGTAATTTTATCTCCCCAAGCACTAACTTATCATTAAATTTCATTGGCCCACAGTAAAACCACAGACATTTCTGAGTAAACACCCAGTGAAGAAGGCAATAGTAATGGTAATTACCGCAGATGAATGAGGTAGCGAAGGTACTTCTGGGAGTTTTTTACTGGCTCGGACAGTCCTGCAGGCATGTAGAGAGTACGTTGACGCAAGAACGTGTGAGAATTACTAGGCATGTCTGTCAGGTTGTACATAACCACAAACATCTTTATCACAGTGCCGAGGGGATTGAGGAGGGTCACCTGGATGGTACCACTACGAGGCACCACGTACCCTTTCTTACCCAAGTTGATATGAGCCTGAAAATCATTTACAGTTATTTACCAAATATTTTTCTAACATAGGTCTATTCAACTTTAGCATACCAGCTTTCATAAAAATCGGTTGAAAAAATTCAAAGATAAAAATGTTTTAATGTAAAAATCACAAAATGGCAAATACCTGATTAACAAAGTGTTTTTATAAAAAAATCATTCTTGATTTCAATTTATTTTGACTCATGAAACCATTTCCCTTAGTTTCGCTGTTCAGTTACGGGACACCCTGTATATACTTTGAGAAACAATGTGAAAAATTAATGAATAAAAGTATGCGTTTATTTTACATGATTAGTTACAGCATGAGTAGAAAAAAATATACGCTTTTTAATGTGAAATAGTCTTAAGGCAGTAAAGGAATTATTATTATTATATTATTGCTTTCTATATTTCTGGAATATTATTAGGTCTCCCGTTTTATTTTACATTCCTTGTAATACTGATCAATGTTTTTATCTGGCGGCATTAAGCAATTTAAACTTAAGATAAAAATGTTATACATTAATGGTACTTCCCCTTACATTAAAGTGGGACTAAAATTAAAAGGTTATCTTTTATTCCATTTGGTATGAAGTATGAACTTATAATCACTCTTCTTTAGCATACATCATTGTTCATATGTCGTTACACGTACACTTATATTTTTTAACTTTTATTTATCAAAATTGTATAACATACGTGATTTTTCATTATAGCTGTTATGTTCATACAACATTGTAGTAATAAATAAATGTATACAATTAGAAGACAATGAGAGTGGAGTGTATAATGCATTGTTAAACAGAACAGATACTTACAAGGTATGGAGTTGAGACTTTATCATTGTCACCGAGAGTGTAGAAGAATACAGTGACAGGCAGGACAAGGTGGGGAGGGCAGAAAGATCCTGACGCTCCGAGATCTGCGGTGAAACCATGGACTGTGCTAACAGGTTCCAACCTTCCATTCAACACCGACTCCTCAAAACTTCCTGCAACAAGAACACGGGGCATTAGGCTACTGTTTAACACATTCGCTGCTATTGTGTAATGACCGGATTCACTGTATGTTCTTATTATATTTCATACAATAGAATTGCTACAGTATGGAGCATACTGTGTTTCAGTGTTTGTGGACAAATGGAAGTCCTACAAATAACCAACAGATAGCATATTTAATGTCCGTCCGGAGCGTTTGGCAGATGTTGGGAGCAATCGGCAGACGTTGAGAGCGATTGGTAAACAATCGGCAGAGTAGGTAATGAACAGCAAAGTCGATTTAACTTAATGAATTAAGGGCATTTTATTTTAATATAATTTAACCTTAAGCGTTTTATGTCACTACTAAAATAAGAGAAAGCGCAATAAAACACGGAATAATGGCCTAATGGTCAACGATTTCCTTTCGACACTCTACTAAAATGAGAAATATTTTTGCTAGTCCTGCAATAACAATTGTTTTTAGAGGACCGCCAAAGTTCTGAATTTGCCAGTTTAGCAAGTATTTATTCAAATGATTCCCAACATTATTTTTTACTATTATTACCTAAAAGTGCAGAGCCTGGTGACTGGTAGTGGAAAGACCACGGCTCTCCTGTTGACGGGATATCGATCTGAGGAGAACAAGGAGATTTGCTGCTGTCACTCTCTGTATCTTCTCCGTTCTCCAGATCAAACAATGCGCTACAAAACACAAGAACATTAGTCACTAACAGTGTACAATAAGTAATGTCATATGTTCAACTGAAAAGTACTGTGTGTACAAAAAGAGAGATGCAAAGTGTTGTAAGTCCAATAAAACAAAATATTACAGTAGACATTCATTGATCCAGACTCCAATAATACAAAATTAACTTAATCCAGACAGCCATACAGCAGTTTGTAAAGATCATAAGGCTGAGTTGGGAAAGCTTCTCTGTATGCTACGCAGTTTTGTCGAGTAGCGTAATGTTTGGAAGAGTTTGATCATTTCTGTACTTTGCGTGTGATTAAAACAGATATCACAGTATCAAACTTTCTAAAAAATGATGTATTTCAAGATATATTTTATAACCCAGTAACCTTCTTATGATAATCAGGGTCTACCTTGCATACTGTGCATATTTAGTCATATACCAGTAAACTTCAATACAATGATTAATAATAGATCCCTTTATTTGTGAATTGGTACTAAAGCACCAGAGGGACACATAATGTAGCACAAATTTTCATAGTCTAAAATTTGTTTTTGAAAACCCAATTAACCTTCTAATGGAAGAAACTGAATTGATAGAACTGTCAAAGTCAAATCTTTGGGAAGTTCTGCGAAGAGGAGCTGGGCTCGAGGTAAGTGGAAGTCCAGTGCGCCAATGGAAAACCATGGACGCAGCCGAGTCCAGTGAGCGACGGAACTTGGCCTTATCCAGCGCAGAGGGCACTTGCGGTGTCTATAACACATAAAATGTACACACTTGTAGCTTTACTCATGCTTTACAATACTAAAGCACAATAATAGGGTATGTGCATTGGCTTTTGGAGAGTGGGTTAGACGATGCTACTAAGAATAAGTTATTTTGAGAGGCTGTAAACAAACATCCTGTCTCGTAAAATATGGTTGCTTATATCTTCAATTTCGACAATAAGTTCTGTACTGTATTACAATAGGATGGATTTGGAAAGCATCAATTAATATAAAAGGTATTAAAATAAAACTAAAAAGGTATTAAAATAACAATTTTTATTGACTGTTGCCTATATTTTATTCCACTGAAAGCATTTAAGTTTACCTTGTTTTGGGTTTATTTGTGACTTTTCTATCGTCAATAGACCTACTTAATAAAAAAGGGGATAGGTATTACTTTATTTTGTAAATAATAACCACACAACTGCAGAATAATGATTATAGCTTATAATTCCAAATAGCAACTAATTTTTCAAAGTTTTTAGTGATTGCCTGTTTTAATCAACCTTTTGTGTTATTCGACCAAATGTCCAGTCCCATTAGGGTCTGTTAAGAGGGGGTCTACTGTGTAGCTGGAGATTAAGGAACCTAGGATTGTAGCAATTACTGATAGGTGCTCACGTATCATTAGTTGGGCTTGGGGAAAAACACTGAAATAATACTTCTAGTACTGACTAACTCACTGCTAGGATTGTAAACTGCCTTCTTACAAACAATTAATTTTCTTAAACTTTAGTTTTAAACTTAAGGAATCTGCAAAAAGTAGTGTAGGCTTAGGCCTATTATCCGAAAAAAAAAATATAGAGCCTTAACGCATATACATTATTTTATTATTTTCCAACAGTCTACAGTGACAGTTTAGTGGGTAAACTCAATGTTAATATACAGTATATTTCATGTTTCTGATAACTAGACCGAGTTCACTTACTTATTCAAAATATTTTCAATGTGTGTAGGCCTAGTTTTCAAAGATTTTGATAGAAGACATGACTGAAAAACATTTCAACAAAATCTTTTTTATTTTGATTGAATTTACTATAGTTATATTTGTGCCTAATTTGTTAAGTGATAAATATAAATTATTGGAATGTTACTGTCATCACAAGATATATTTAACTAAGTTATAATTTTAAAAGTACGATCCTACATACGTTGTGTTTGTCACTTTTTAGTACTGGTAAAATATCTTACCTCCACCCGTTTGTTGAGATCAAGATTGCTAAACTCTTCCACAAGGCAATTATTGACTTGTTGGCACTTGAGTTCTTCTTTGTCTTCTTTCTTGACACACTGTTTAGTCCGATACCGATTCACCAATTCACAGACAATACTGCTGGGCCCCGTGGCAACATCTCCCCCACCACATTTATCATCTTGTGTGAAGGAAGCGTTGGTCGAATGTCCAAACCAATCACCACTTCCTGAATGGGGAGGCAAGACGTTCTCTTCTGTACTTTTATCCAATTCAAGTTCAAGAGGAGGTGTACACTTTTCTTTTTTAGTTTTATCTTTGGATTTGTCACAAGGTAAAATTTCGATATTGTTTTTATTGCTAAAATCTAAGCTGGTTTTAGAGTCAGGTTGAGGCAGCTGGCCTGGGGGAATGAAGTCTATATCTTGGTCCAGTTTACGTTTTAATGAGACTGGCGACGGAGGGGACAGCTGACTGGAACGCAAGATGGCTGACATCAACAAATCTCCTTTGCCGCTCACCTTCTCTTGCTTGACTGTGATGTTATCTGGTTCGGTGCCGACCCTCACTCTATAAAAAATCAATATATTACATAGTGAAACCTTGCTTATATAAACTTGTATATCTGGGGACTCAATAATGAACAAACTTGATGTTTTGTGATTTGCACTATTCCTTTCAAAGAATATTTTCTGCTGAAAACTTTAATTAATGGCAACCCGAAAACAACTTTTTAAAGGGTGGGTGTGTATAGTATGTATATCAACTTGCAGTGTTAACGCTTTTAGATGAAAGAAAGACAAATAGGTCTATGATATGGATAGCCAGGGAATGAGAAAATTAGTTCTATAAAAGGGACAACAAACAGTCCCACTTACCCACCATCAGGGCTGGTCTAAGGGGTGTGCGACGTATGCAGCCGCACACTCCAACCTTTTGGAGGGGCATAAAACTGACCATTCTTGAAAAAAAATTTTTTTTTAATTGGCAAATTCATAGAAATTGATTTGAATGTTGGGCAGCAATATTTAAAATAGGAACATCTCAAAACTGTTACAGTTCAATTTCAAAGTTAAAACCAAAGATCTACCCCCATACCCTTAGTGAGTTCTGAAATATAGTAGCCTTATGCCCTTGACTAACGTCCAAGGTCAGCAGAGCAGCCGTCTACGTCAGTGTGACGGGACACAGGAAGGGTTGTGGTTGTGACATATTTCTGCCTCCCCTTCCACGGGTGTTTTCTATATTAAAACGTTTTTATTAGCTCGCTTTCTCTTCTGTTCAGTACAAATTTTGCAATCTATTTCAAACTAACTTCCCGATGTGCTAAACCGACGTGAAACTTGAAAAATAACTCACAAATGAATGACAATGCAATATCATATCATTTTATTTTCATATTTCTCTGGGCTACACCCCATGAGCTTCCAAATTTTCAATGTTTGCAGTTTGGAAGAATGTAAATATATCAATTGAAGTCAGCTGTATATACTTTAATTTGACAGTTTGTTCAAAGAGCAGAGGTTAAGCACCGAGCCGGTTTGTACAGGTTCTGCTCCCGAGATATTAACAAGTTTTACGATTATGAAAATACTAGCAACAACATCTGATTACAGTTGAAAAGGGTTTGTTTATGTATTAACAGGTTATATCAAATAGATTTAATACATTTACACATTAAAGACTGAAAAGTAGAAAATAATTTATAAATAAAAACAACTTTTTAAAATATGTTTTTAAATGAACTAAAAAGTAGAAAATAATTTATAAATTATTTAGCCAATAACCACCGATATTTTTATTTCACCCATGAGATATGCAATTTTTTGGTATGGCATACGGTGAGTCCAGCTCCGGCATTTGCTATTTATTCTAAGAGTACTTGCAATATAAGTGTAAACATCATTGAAAAGTGACTACGAAGCTTAACATCATAATAGTGGTTTAAGGTACAAAAGAGTATATAACCTAACAAGCCAATCAATATTAAATAAAATTGATACACAAAGATTTAATGTTCTAAAAGAGGCTCAAAAGTGCACAAAAAGACCTTAAATTTCAAACATTTTTCGGTCCCCCTTTAAGCTGGGGGGTATTCCATACCCCCCAGACCCTGACAAATTTAAATTTGAAATTTAGGATATGTGAGTCTTGCACACTTGCAATTTTTTTCTTAGGCCGGCCCTGCCCACCTTGCTTTTTAAACCATTGTGCTCAGGCAACCATTATAAGATTGATAGGCCATTATTCCTACGATAGTGAAGAAATAAATCAGAGATACGACACCTAAATGTGATTTAGTATTAAAGTACCTTCTCAATTCAATTACTCAAATTAATGTGTCCATTTTTATTCTACAACGGGTGATAACTTTCATCAAGGGGTTGTAGTTCAATCGGGTCGCTGTCAGGGTACCACCCTGACAACGTACGACAACAAAAACCTGTTACCACAAATTTATCCGAGGTGGTGGGTTCTCGTGCACGCTCCCGTCTAGGTACCACCCTGAAAAATTGCTATCACAACAATCTCCCCCACCACACAAAATAATGTAGTATTACGATTAAACGAGTAAATTTTAAAATAAATGTGCGAGAACTAATTAGATTTATTTAATTTCTATCTTGATGCTCCTAGTTGAAGAGGTAGGCCTGTTTTTATCAATATTAATTATATTGTGTGACATGCCTAAACACATTGGCAGATGTTAACCTTCCGACGGGCGCATTGATTTTCAAACACCAAAGGGCGCTCACGGAATTTACCTCCGGAAGTACAAAAACTATGTAATGATGAGTAAAAAACATTTTAATAGCAATAAAACTGTAAGAAAAACATTTTTTATGAGTTATTACACTATTACTTAAGTAGTATATCAAATTAGAAAATGTTATAAAAACATATAAGAATATGTAAGTGTTGTGGATAAAAAAAATTTACTTTTTGTACTTATACAGTACTATCGTATATTAGAAAACAAATTTGAATATTGTATGACATAAAAACACGTACATGGTCTAATAAAAATAATAATTTTGTACAAGGATAACTTGTTCAATCAAAGCTCTTAGACAAACATTTTATCAGTGTATGACATAAAAACACCTATGAAAAAAGACAACTTACTTTGTCAAAACTCTTTAGAAAAAATTGCAATGGTGTTTGAAATAAAACACCTATTGTCTAATGCAAAAAAAAAATCATTTGATAGCCCTCCGAGTGTCACGCGTCATAAAAATGACGCACAACACACTTTGTGTAGGGTCACGCGTCACTTTTATGACGCACAAACATCGTTTACGGCGAAGGCTCTATGACTGACTGAATCGGATTGAACTGGATCGAGTTAGGTATCGTTCTTTCCGTAATATTCTAAGCTTTCTCCAGAGGTCTGTCTCTAAGCGCTATTAATTTTAGTTCCGAAAATATTGTAGCAGACAGCTGACGTGCGTGTATTTGTAAACAGCTAGGTTCCCCCGGACCGATGACTGATGTGTTTTATTACGTTTATCATTGTTTTAGTGTTAAAAATCAAAAGTAGTGTTATACGTGGTGCATTATAAGAAGATTTAAGTGGTTTTGAAGTGCTGGTTGATGATCCTGAAGAAGTAGGTAGTGATATTGATGTAAATTATCAGCCAGATTCCTAGCTATGGTTAGGCTATGCATTCTTAGCTAAACGCTATGTACTGAAATCCGTTTTTCGCTCATAACTTATTTATTTGATAACTTACCTCGCTATATGATTATATATTTGTAATCCTCATTAAATTTAGAACAAAGTGGCTATTTTCAAATATTTATAGGCCTATAATTTATACAATTTCATTGAGCGCGAACTTATTTTTTTTTTGAAAATTTTCGAAATTATATTTTTTTTTACCTAAAAATTTTTTTTTGAAAAAATGTTCCTTATGTTTTATATATAATATTGAAGCCCATGATTTTCCAAACAAAATGGTATATAGAACATTAGAATTGACATTGTTTTAAGCTTCTCAGATCCGTTTTAATAAAACCTTGCAAAGGGGCCAAAAATAGGTGGACATTAAGGCCTAAACTATGGACACTCGGAGGGTTATAAAGACCACACATTTTGTCAAAGCTCTTTTTGTTGAAAAAAAAAGCTCACACACCATTAGTTCTTTCTTCTAAATGTTGTTCCTTGTCCTCCCTTTCAACACCAGCCAACAATCTCGCAATTAGTTCTTCTTCATCCATTTTATAATATTGCTAAATACGGTCAAACACAAGGGTGCACACGGAACTAGGCTCTGGGAAACCCGTTGCATCACAGGGCGCTCACGGAAGCTACTTCCAGTAGTGACGCAAACCACTCCCCAAGGTCGACTGACAACTGGGAAAGGGGTAAGAGTATACAAAACCGATTCCGCAAAAGCGGTTCATGAGGTAAATCAGGCCACAGCCCTGCCGAACACATACTATGGTTTTTATAACGAAAAAAGTAGTGACCCGGAGGTAACCTCCGTGATGCGCCCGATGGAAGGTTAATGCTAGAAATCAGAATGAATAATTGGTCATTGTACAGTAGTACAGATAAACACAAACAACAAATTTATTGAGAATAGGTATCTCACAAAAGGTAATGGAAGTATAATATATAATTAAACAAAAAATTAGCATTGTCTACATCATCACTGATATTGTTGTATTTGAAATACATGAGTATAAGTTAGACAATCCCGGAGTGGGACGGTTAGCTAGTTCCGTGGTTATCCAGATCCACCAGCCAGCAGCGTTAGCGAGTTTCAGATATATTAGGATATATTAGGTTAGGTTATAATAGGTTAAAAGGTTATATTACGTTGGATTCCATAAGAGGGGTGGTTAGTTTAGGTTAGGTTAGATTGGGTTGGGTTAGATTACGTTGGGTTGAATTAGGGTGAGTTTGGTTAGGTTAGCTTAGATTAGGTTGGGTTAGGTTTTATTAGGTTAGATTACGTTGGGTTGAGTAAGGTTAGGTCAATCAATAAAATGGGTACATTATGAGTAGCCTAACCCAACATAATCTAACCTAACATAATCTAACCTAACCTAATATAATCTAACCTAATGTATGTAATCTGATCTAACCTAATATAATCTAACCTAACCTAATATAATCTGACCTAACGAAACCTATACTAATCTAACCTAACCTAACCACCCCCCTTATCGAATCCAACGTAATATAACCTAACCTAATATATCATAACATAACCAAACCCCCCCCCTTATCGAACCTAACGTAATCTTATCTATTATAACCTAACCTAATATATCCTAACCGGACCAAACCTAATCCAACCTAACCTAACCCAACGTAATCTAACCTAACCAAACCCAACTAATCTAAACCCAACGTAATCCAACCCAACGTAATCTACAACCTAATATTACCTTACCTTACCCAACCTAATTAATATAACCTAGTTTTATGCTAAATAGATTTTCCAACGCTTTTCCAGCCGTATCTCCGTTAATATCCATCGGATCTTGAAAATTCGTGCACATTCTTGTTCAGCTCACTTTACCAATTTGAGTACCTGCAAGAACTATTTCCGCAAAAATTGTTTTCCCGCTTTTCCGTGGAAATGGTGCTTTTCCGGGGAAAAAGACAATCATTTTTTAATTCAGGACATTATTTAGCATAATAGTGAAAAAAATATTATTTTAGGTGACATCCGTGATCAATCAAATTACCGTGTAAGAGTAAACTTAAGTAGCCTAGTTAAGTTTAAAGTATGTGTTGTTTACCGAAGCACAGTAAGGACTTCTTCCATTTCCTTCTTGCTCAACTCCAGATTCAGTTTGTTGCGAGCTTGACTATTAGGTTCTTCAACGTCTTCCTCACAGCGACAATCATGTTTTCCATGTTGGTTGCAGTCTGTCTGCATACGATCGTCAACAGGCCCTAAAACGGATAATTATTAATTATTAGGTAGGTAATTAATTTACAACAAATCCCCAAGGAAAATATACCTGAATGATTTTTATTATGGAAATCATAACTTGAAAACAATATTTTTGTTTAAATTTTTGATGTAATTTCATTAAGTAGGTTTACCTGTTGCCATTGTATATTTAAGATTGAGATTCAGTAATCAGGCTTAGGCCAAAGATAATGTATGATTAAAATCATACAACCTATTAAAACAGATGAAAAAGGTATAAAACTTAACAGATTTATTAATAAGTAAACCAAAAACATCATGGACACACTGTTATAATTACATTAAGCCTACTTAAATTTTAAAGGTCAATATTTGGAGGTTAAGATATTTCATCCCCTAGTCTATATCCATTTCATTTCATATTATTTTCCCAATAGTTAATTTCTGAATTGGAGTGAATTAACTTGTGGACTGAGTTTTGAGGAAATTGTGTTTCAATGCAGAACACCATTTCATTTCATATTATTTTCCCAATTTCAGAAGTTAATTACAGAACTGGAGTGAATTAACTTGTAGTTGTAGACTGAGTTTTGAGGAAATTGTGTTTCAATGCAGAACAATCATTGACTGTAGATTTAATCCTCAGCAGTTTTTGTTCCACTTCACTATACATTTGGTTCAAGTTCAAAAAATTGGAGTGAGAGTGAATTAAATTATTGTCCTTAAGTTGTCCATTGCTTTGTTTACATTCACAAAGTGAGGTTAGAAGATTGTTATTATTACAAATAAATAATAGGGCATCTACCTAATAATTTTTGTTTCCTATTGTGTTTTAATGTTGTGTGTGTTGTCATGTTTTGTGTGTTTTTTTTTTACAACTAGACACAGTCTATTCTTCTGTCCTAGAGGGTCAATGACGAAGGCCAATGAATAATGAATAATGTGGAATTTAATTTAATGTCTTTACTATACAATTCTATTGAATTAAATTTCAAATGTTTAATTATATGTATTCTATACTAATTACGAAGCATTTTATTGGTTCCTTGAAATTTATTTTAAATTGATTGGTTTATTATTATTAATTTATTAAGGTAGAGAGAATTAACAGTGTTGCATGGCTACCTACTTAACAAGATTTTATTGATACTTAACCCTAGGACTGCCTAACAAGTCGGCGGTTTGATGTGTGCGCCCGGTGCCCAGGTGGTTCGGACATTTTTTTTCAAACGCTTACTATGCAATGAAAATTATCCAGAAGCGTAATAATTTTGATAGCCTACCGTTGGAAAGAAGAGATTCTGAACTTTTATTTTCATATATAAACGAACCTCGTAGCACTAACAGATCAATTTATTATTATTTGACAGCTACTATTAACAGCTATTATCATTTGAACGATATTTTGCACGCGTTAAAATTTTCAAGCTGCGATCGACAAAATCTCGTAAAACATGTTGTTTTTAAAAAATCTACAAGTAGTAATTTTGCATAAACAGGAAGTGGTTGGTACCATTGGAAAGATCTTGACTTGTTCTTTATTTTCGTATAGAGAACTTTGTCATATGACGTTAGGAAGTCTGAAAAATATTTTTTTGAAATCAGCTGTTTTGTCAGTTGGCCATTTTGCCCAAACCGCCGTCCAAACGGTGGTTTCTAAAACACGAATAAATATATTGATAATTAAAATTGACATAGTGATGAGAGTCATATACCTATTTGAAGCTAAGAAAACGTTCTATCTCTATGTTTTGGTGTCTTTCAGTATTGAGATTCAGGTTACACATTAGTTGTAACTAGAAAAACAAGTTGTTTGCGTTCTGCTCGCCGGAATGTAAATTAGGTTTTCAGTGCAGCTACATTATTATCTGTGCTAATTTTCATCAGAGGTTAGTGTTTTGGTGTGAAAAAAGTAGTATTGTTAGGTGGTGTATGAGTTAGTAGTAGTATTTATCCATATTACGCTTGGTAAGTATTATTATTTTTGTCAAAATTTGTGTTATTGAAATAGTGATTGTTTAGGGGTTATGCCTATGCCTATAAGCTGAACCTAAATCCTAGCCTAGCCTACAATCGTATGTGTGTCTCACGCCAGAATAATGCTTCTGCAACATTTATTTGTTTATATTTCTGTATATATGTGTATATTTTCTTGTTCATATATATATATATATATATATATATATTTCCTACTAATACGTGTAATATTTATTATAGGTAGTAAAGTACAAAAATTAGATCTAACTTTGAATCGGCCAAACTATTTTTTGTTTTCGGAAAAACTAAAATATTGTTTTTCAAGTCATAAAAAGTTATAATTTGTACAATATGACATTATTCTGAATAAATGTATTGTTACCGTACCTTTAGTAATATAATAACTTTTGTACGGTATGTAAACTGTATAGTTTTAATTATGTTTTTTTATAGGGAAATAAATTGCCTAGTTTTTATATATCTTAGATTGTCTGTAAAAAGGCTAGGCCTCTGCTTTTGAAAATTATTCCAATTTTTTTTTACTTTTATTAAAATTTTACAAAAAAACACCAACAGGCTAACAGGAATTCCTGATATTTTATTTTATTCTAAATCTCCTTTCTTTTTTGAACAAAACCAGTATGAATGCCTAGGTTATCAACAGTACTTTGGGCACTGCGAACTGTTAAAAAAAAACTCTGCAAAATAGCCAAAATTGCCAGGGCACCAAGCATAAATCAGATCAGGGCAGTCCTAGGGTTACATTACTCAATCAAGGTTTGTAGTTTTTGTTCTTGACTATCTCTTTAGAGTTATACTATTTTTTTAATAGTTAATAGGTAGGTAAATTAGTAGGTTACTAGTACTAGTCTCTTATGTACTCTCGGTAGGTTACTCATTTTGGTTAGACTTAGGCCGTCAAGTGCAATATAACATGAAATGTTAACATTATAGACTAGGAAGTGCACATTTTATTGTAAGTTTATATCATACCTTAGGCCTACACTTTTTACAATAACCAACTACGGATTAGACTACTCCTTGGGCCTCATTGATTGAAACTAAATGACAGCGTAGCTTCAATCTTATAATTGCCAAGTTACTTTCTTTTCATTTTTTTCTTTGCCACTGGCATTTCATAAGAGAGGTCACGAGAGAATAAATGTTTATTGGATGTGCCGGGAATTGAACCCGTCTCTCCCGCACCGAAGTGCAAGACACTAACCACTAGGCTAGCAACACACTCACGTTCTTTGGATAGGATCCATTATGTGCAACAGTTGAGTTTTTATACTTTATCCTGTATAGCTTTAAAAAGTAAATCTTATTGTGTATTATTCCAAAATTGTGATTGATCTTAAGTAAATCAAAGTAATACTCGAGTAAAACTTAGTAACACTAAATGAAATTGAGAAGTAAATAACGTTTAGCAAAAATTTTACCAAGCTTACAATAAATCTTGAACAAACTCCAAACATAAAGTGTTGAAAATAAAATTGTCAATGTTTCCCTTCAAAAAGAGTAATCATAATTTTCAAAAAACTATGTATCTAATCTGGAGTGATTGTGAATGAAAAATACATAAAACAAATATCCCAACCTAACCCCAATTTTCATTTAGACCTAGTTATTTTTGCCTATATTTGTTAGTTTTCATCCAATTATTTTGTGTTTAATCAAAAGAGGACTTAACTTAATATATATAATATAAGAGGATGCAAAATAGGCATCAAAATATACCTTAAAAATGATTAAATAAATTTAAGTATGCACTAGGTAAGAACCTCCTTTTGGATTGTTAAGTAATTTTTAAATTAGCCTACATGTTTTTTAAACAAGTAACTAAGATGGATTGTAAAATTTCTACTTTTAGAACACCATTACACATGCTGAATTGTTGCAAAAATGTGACCAGAATCGTAGATAAAATCTACTCCCATAGTAGATTTCTCATCCTTACAGTTCAGCTGAAGACAATTTTATTGTTAGTTCTGTTCGGTGCACTGTAGAGGTTGTGTTTAGTTTAACTTACAGTTTGTTTCTTGTCAATTTAGTCATATAAACCTCGTTTAACCAAATAAAACAATCTAATCATAAACAATGACTTGTCCCCTAGTTATTCAACTAAATAGTGATGCACAAATCATGAAATTGTCCCTAAAATAATAGAAAAAAAATCTTGTTGACACTAGCAATCAGTGTCACCAATATGAACTAGACACAAAAACCAAGCTTCAAAATATACAATGGGATGAGAAGTCTACTTGTTTTGGTTAGTCTATGCCAGAATCATGTTAGAGAAACAATAAAGTAAAAGAGGTTTAGGTGAATTGGACATATAGGCTACTGAGGAGGGTAAATAAGAGCATAGCCTGAAATGATTGTACTGGAACCAACAGGGAATTGGAAAAGAGGAATAGAAGGCCTTGAGAGATCTGAAGGAAGACCATGGAGAGAGAAAACAAAGGGAAAAAGATGAAGCGTAATTTACAGACAGAGGTTAATATTTAGGCTTTACTAACTAAAGTGAGTGGACTAACTATAATCATAGTTATGTTGACCACCTGGTAGGGGTAGTATGTGTAGAGAGGAAGTGTGTTTATCACAGCGACGAGTCATGACCTGACGAGAGGGTCTGCGTCTTGGAGGGGAGGGGGGACTGCCTGTGTGCCATTTGCATAAACCTGCTGTAACATGAAACACTACATGATCACTGTCCTACCTTTGGGTAAATAACATCTAGTTTAAACACAAATTGCGGTCAGTTCCTTCCCACCTGCAAGTGTGATGTCAACGTACATGATTGTGTGAGAAGGACCATACGATACACAGTCGTTCTTTGTTGGAGGTTAAGCATGAGACCATGTTCAGTACAAACATTGAAGGAAAGTATTACATGTTAATGACAACAGTATCATCATATTAAATATAGATTAAAATACAGGTAGGCCTATATGCAGTGCTCGATTTGTAAGAAATTAGGTGCCGGAACTGTAACCTATTTAAAGTGATTAGTACCTATTTATGCCAATATTTTTATCTTCACAAAAGAGAGGTACCGAAACGCCATAAACGCCATTCTGCCACAAATCGAGTACTGGGTATGTGCAACAACGAACACTATCAATACCGGATAACTGTTACAATGAAAATGTTTACGGTTAAATTAAAAAAATTGCTATCATGCAATTTGGGTACATTTCATTGTATTTGTATCAAGGTTGATAACTGATCACATCAGATTCAAAAAGTACAACTATAAAACAAGCTTTTAAATAAGTGCATTATATACAAAGATCAACCTTTTTGAATAATTGACTATTACTACTGACAATCAACGATGCAGTTGCTACATGGCCCTGAATTGAAAATTAAACCCTCTAGCAACACTTTGCACAGTAGTCTTTAAACAAACAGCTTAGGATGGATGGGGAGTCTATCCTGTGATTCACAACAGTTGAGTCTGTAGCAAGAATTGTGGACAAGATACACAGCTCACAACCATATAAGGTACAAAAAACTCTTAACCAGATCCTAAATTTCAAAAAACGAAGATCAAAAACAACAGAATAAATATGCAAATATACAATATATTCCAGACCGTGGAAACACTGATTGCCTCAGAAAGTATCTGTCACTTTACATTGATACCTTATGTTTATACAAGGGCTCCATTCAAAAAACATGTTTTACATTAGTTCACATCATTACCAATTACATGGGGGTGCAACTGAGCATATTTCACCCAAATATGAGTGCAGATAGAGCGGAGTGAGATACCACGTGTGGCTTTGTTACCAACTGATTCTTTAACTAGGATCATTTATTTAAACCTCAAGGCCAAGTCACACCGAGCTCGCTCCCGCGGCGGGAGCGATTTTTAAAAAATCGCTCACCATGTTATCAAATGTGCCAAGTCACACCGCACTACCGCGCGCCCGCGGGCGTGCGGTAGTGTCCGCCACGTCCGCCTGCTGAGCGATTTTTTGAGAGTACCGCGGCGGGAGTTTTGTCTAGCGCATGCGCAAAGGGGCTTTCGAATGCCCAAGCTACTTAAAGTTTAAAAGTAATACAGTTTCAAATTATATTTAACATGTTTCTTTTGTTTGATGATCTAGTCTATGTTGTTTTGTATTATCTTCGTAATTATGTTTATCGCCAGAAAAAAATCATTTTTGTTTACCACGCAAAAATAATGTTTACGGTGAAAATTTAATGTTTCCCAAAAACATTTTTATATTGCCGACGTAAACATTTTTTTTATTGTTTCATCAACTTTTTCGATTTGCAACAAAAAAACTTTACAATCAATGTAAACTTGAACTTTCAATAGAAGGCTTAGCAAAAAATTACATTAGTTTTAAAATGGTCATATGTTTTTTATTTAAAAAGTAAACAGTCTTTGTAGTGTAGCGAAAAAAAAACGTTCAAAAGTTGAAAGTGGATAATTTGTCCACAACCATATTTAAAATGCTTCAAACACAAGGTCTAAATTAAATAAAAAAAATAGTTTTTTCCACTTTTTAAAGTAGCCCTACTAATAAACATTAAATTGCTTCTTAAACACTTTACTTAAAACCTGCAAATTTACATGGCATACTAAACAGGTAAGATGAGTTTCTTATGTAAAACGAATTGTAATGAACTCATCTCAAAACTCCCGCCGCGGGCGCGAACTTTTGGTGTGACATGGCTCGAGGAAAAACATCCGCGCGCGGTACTCCCGCGGCGGGAGCGGAGGATGTCGGTGTGACATGGCCTTCAATGCTCAAGAACACCTGGGTCCAGTTTTGAACCATAAAGGTCGATTCACACATATCAGTTCAGTCATAGTTCCGTTATAGTCCAGTAACAGTTCAGTCTCAGTTGCATCCACAATTTCTCAGTCAATAGTCAGTCAGTTGGTTTCAGTCAGTCATCCGTCTCTAAAATTCACAGTAATTTACAGTCAAAAGTTTTAAATTATAAACCTATATTCTATCAAGTTTTCATTGTCCATCTTGTTGATTGTTACAAACAGTACTCAAAATATAAACACAACCATTTAAACAACAATAACACCATTTTCTAACCTTAAACCGGTCCGTCAGTCTTCCGAACAATCCAAAAGTATCGGTGGAAAGAAATCTGAAATTAACTGACGGATGCCGGTAGAGCGACTGACGGGACTGCAACGGATAAGTGTAGATAGCGCAATGGAAAATCCATTAAAGAATATTTTTTTTAACTGTCACGTGCCTGAAGTGACTGGACTGTGACGTTCCGTAACTGATGTGTGTGAATCGACCTTAAAAACGTTTTTGATTTTTCTCATGATCAAACGGGCAACCTTTTGATTGCACTACAACCATTCAGCTACCAAACTATAATCATCTCTTGCAGACCCATAAACTGTGGCGGCGGCATGAGATTGGTCAAAATATGGTTTAAAAGGTATGAAAACTTACCATGAGCTCTGGAAGCAGAGGATGGACCAGGGGGGTCTAGAAGGCTCTCTCCAAGCAGGGGTTGTTCCAAACCGATGGATCTCTTACGTACGTTGTTGTCTGGAGTGCACGAGGCGCATGCCACCACTGGCGGAACATCACTGCGTGGTAAAGTCCTCACCGATACCTGCGCACATTAAGCATGAAAACACAGCGTTCCGGGGGAAGGTAAAATATATTTTGACAACCTAATTTCAAAACATTTTACAGATTTATTTACATCAAAACGCGTAGTCCAATTGTAGAGGGCAGATGAATCACTAGGCAGTAACAGGTATTTTAACCTTTTTACAATATTTGTCAACATGATCCAGAAGAATCCTCACAACATGAAGTTTAAAAAAAAGTCAAACTAATAAATTCGGATATAAATTTAAATGGATGGTACAAATGGCTGTTACATGGAAATACAGTTCAAACATATTAGGGTTGTATACATTTGGAAAAAAACCACAGAAAGTTGATTCCAACTAATTACATGAAGAAATTAGGTTTGCCTACACACAGTAGATATAAAGTTATGAATGTTTAAGTTAATTTACGTCATACGATCTCCTCTAAATCTGATCTACAGATCATCTAATATGGGTAGAATCAGACTGAGCTCAATCATTACCCTGAATTTATACTTATATGGTGCAAGGCTTGATAAGTATAACAACGTGATTGCTTTTCAGACCAATTTTAATGGTTTTATCTCTTTTGTTTTGAATATCCTATATCTGACTTTTTCTGACTATAACATCATCCGGCATCTGACAGATATGAGGGAATCTACTTAAAATACATTTGGCTACAATGTCAACAACCTCAATGTTTTAAGTACGTTTGTTGGGCACAATAACTTTATAGTTGTCGTTGTCACATTCCAAAAACTCATTAAATTTTACCCACAAGGCTTATTGAGTGTCTTAACAGTTTTATTTTGTTTAAAAAGTACCACTTTGCTCACTATTAGCACAAAAAACTAACTACAGTAGACTCCCTCTTATCCGGACTCTTTGGGACCGAGGCCAGTCCGGATGACGGTTTTTCCGGTTAAACCGACGTCCCGCAAAACTCGTTAAAACGGACCGTTTAAATGCATACTGTATACAGTATTTGACTAAAATTTAGGAGAGCATTGTATTTAGACATGTGATCACTGGTCTCAAATATTCCCCACGAGAACAGTCGTTTCAGTACCGCCCACTTCCTGCCGATCTAGTCCGGTTAAAGCGATGAGCTGATTAACGATGATCTGGTTAAAGAGATGTCATTTCCGTTGGGTGTAGTCCGGTTAAAAGGTGTCCGGATAAGAGGGAGTCTACTGTATTGCCTTTTTTTTACCTTAAGTTGAGTGTTAGGCCCCACAGCAGCTGGAGGGAAGATGTGATGTTGGGGGGGTCGAGAAAAGTGTGACACAAAAGCTCGCTCTGGCAGAGTTACTCTGTAGCAGACATTGATAGGTCTTGAGCCGCGACTGCTGCTCCACCAGGCAGACAACTGAGAGAAGTGAAGCTGCGAGCGCACAGCTTGTAGCAGACTGCGCATACTCATGTTACACGGCTCGTCACTGGAACATTCATGAGATTGTAATAAATTGTTACGAGGGATAAATATTAGGTAAGGAGACGGATAATCTAGGTTGGAGGTTTGGAAGCAAATATATGCCCTTGCGGATTTTACATTCAATATGGGTTGATTTTCTAAAAAAATATTTTTTTCTGTTAACTGTAGAAAACTAAAAGGGTACCATAATTGAGACTACGGCTAACCTGAGTCTGGAGTAGAAGCGCAAACAAGCATTCTACCCCATGAAAATACAAGTTTTCTCAGTCCTAAAAGCATCACCCCTAAAACTCCCGTAGAGTCCAAATCTTCCGATTCCTAACCAAAGCTGATTGTGGTTACTGATATATTACTATCCACACCTAAATATTACTCGTACCAAGAAAATTGCATACTTGGATATTTTTAAGATTCATCTTGTAAAAAATAAATTTATAATTTAGCGTCAAGATTTTAATTGTCATTGACCTATCTTTGTACAAGAGAATAGACAAAAATACAAAATAGGAATAGCCAATATAAATACAAAGATTTATAATGTGTTCAGAATAAATTACTTGTTGTTTTATTTGACAAATCTAATAAAACTTGTTGGAGTAAATATTTACTCCGCACGAGCTCTCGCGTTATAGAGATAGGCGGGCACTCTGGGGTTAAAGGCTGAAATCCTTACAGGATTTCGTGAGTATTTATTTATTTTTAGTGTTGGTTGCGATTTCAGCTCATCTAAGTAAGCTTCAAATCTGACATTTGACGTTACAAAACCCTTTTCTTCCAATGATAACCCATATTTATTAATGTTTTACCAGTTGTTATTTTTATCACATGACTGTCTTATCTGAGGTCTGGGCTAAATATAACACTGACTAATGACAAGATATTAATCAAACAAATTAGCTAAGGATCAAACAGAAAAATGACTGAAATTCCTTGGTTTGATAAAAAAAGAACAGGATAAGCACTTGACGTAATCATTAACCAAACGAGTGCTCGAACCGGCACTTTTGGTCGAAAGTCTTATCTTTTTGCCTTCATATATTTCACAACTTAATGGTATAGGGAAGTTCTGCCTATAGGTTCGCTCCATCCACTACGTAGGAGCAAATGGCATCCCCACTTATTTCACCGTTTCAGGTCCTGTTCTTCATCACCGCTCACACAATCTACCCGAGGATGCAGTAAATACCGTCATCACTAGACCATGCCACCAATAGGCTTATGCCCTGTTTGTACCGAAGTATTGGTACCGACATTTTGAAGTTGATGCTCAGTATTGGTACTTTTCCAAAACACCGGTGGTACCAGCCTTTACTGTTGAGGGAAAAAGTTTTAGACACTTGAGTTTTGTGCTCTACTGAAAAGTAAATGAACTACTTAGAAAAACACGGAGGTATATAACCATTTTCTTTGTTTTATTCTAAGTATGCCTATGAAAGGTGATTCTTCCGACTGATCCTGTAGTATGCCAATTGCTCCCAATGAGGCTTACAATAACTCCTGACATGATGATTGGTCCTGGCTCTGTCAAACGCACACATATGAACTAAAATAGCATTCAAAAAATGTTGAAGACCTAAAGACTATTGCTAGTTACTGTAAACAGTTTTATTTTGTAAATAATTTGAAAGTTGGTGAAAAAACAAGGAATAAATAGTTAACATCAAAATGAGCTCTGTACTTCATGTTTTTTTTTTTTAATACATAGAATAACACGAAGAAAAATGTAAAGCACTCCGTGTTTTTCTGAGGAGCTTCTCTGTAGAGCTCCAAACTCGAGTGTCTTAACATTTTCCCTAACAGTAGATTATTGTAATCCCTAAGGTATCAAAATTAGCGTTACAAACTGATTAATTGTGCCATTATGTGCACATAGTACGGTAGTAAACATATTTGTGCATAATCTGAAATTTCATAATCCGAACTTAAGTTCAGTCCCAATTAGTTCAGATTAGCAGTGCAATGATTTAGCGGAACCTAATGTGTACCAAGGACCAAATACTTTGAAACCATGTCTTAAATATATTTTCATGGCTTCATTGCAAATATTAACAGGTGCTGATTTGAGTTTAGCGATAAAAATCTGTTGAAATAACAAGAGAAAAGTGAAACAATAAACATAAAAATAAAGTTTCAAGTAGGCTACTGGTAAAGAGAAAAAAGTAGATTTGTTGGAAAAATATTGGTACTCTTATCCCCTGGTAATTGTTAGCGATTGATTTAAGAACAAAGTTCTGGAAGCTTTTGATTGTCTATTCTACAGTCTCATATACAATATATTTAATTTCATTGACATAAATATTCCTATTAAAAACACATTAGCTATATCATGATTTCCAAATGAATACTTATCCTTCTGAAATTACAATAGCCGACATATACCTGACAAAAGATAAGTTAGGTTAGGATAGCTGATTTTAAGTTTAAGTTTTGCTTACTTCTGGTTATATTAGAAAGTCGTGGTGGTACCATTGTTTCCATACGCAGGTTTTTATCCCAAAAACGGGATTTGTAGACCATGTGCTGGATTAAAACAGGATGCAGGATGAAATTGGACACCTGATTTCCTTTTTTCTGCTATTCATATAAAAAACTAACCCAATCCCCCTATAGCTTAAAGAACCCTCTTAACTTGATAGGATATGTAATAAAAATCACTCGGGATAGAATGGGATTATTTACAAAATGCATGCACGATGAAACAGGATTTTCTCAATGCGGTAAGGGGTTTTTTTCTTTTGTTTCTGGAAATACTGAATATTACATTTCTGTACTTGCCACAGTGGATTTGGTAAACTAACGTCCACCATAGAGACATCGCTTGAGCAAGAGTTTGAAGAGACAGGAATGTGCATCTTTCTAAGATTACAACGACTTAGACTAGGTTAACTTAATTAAGTTTACATTGTTAAACTTCTAGTTACATACAAAATTCCCATATTATTATGATATGAATCTAACCAAATTCAAGTTGGGTTACCTGATGTGTACAACAGAGACGGTCCATTGCTCCAGCAAGAGATCGGAAGACGAAGGGATGTTAGCAACCTCAGGACTACGTGCTCGCTCAGTTCCACAAGGACACAAAGGACACAGTAATACTTCCACACACATTGGCACAGCGTTGTTACACAGCAGTGACAGATGCTTGCGTAATCTCTCGGCTCTCATACACTGCAGGACACACACACTACGTTATACATTTTGCTTAGTTGTGAACCTTATTTTTTTGGTTTCATGATGGTATGATCACTGGATAGTCAAAAATTAGCAAAAATATAGGTTAAGTTAGCTTCTATCGAGCAATGTCTTGAAAAATAACTTGATTGGATCGCTCCACAGTAGCCGAGTTAATTTAAACCTATATAGTTGTGTTTTAGCGAATTTCCCTATAGGGAAGTAGCTATTACCGTAGGTGGCACGGCAAGACCTAGACCCGGGACCGATTTACTTTTTCATTTTGATGTCCCCAGAGGCCAAAAACACCATTCGTTCAAATTTTTATATATGTATATATATATAGACTTATATATATATATATATATATATATACGTCCGTGAACGCGATAACTTGAGTAATTTTTGTCCGATTTTGATGAAATTTGGTTTAAAGGTGTAAAGCGGGATAAACTTGAATGAGTTCGCGAACCAGCACGATCGGATCATGGGAACGGGGCTTTACGGGGGGTTTTATGGGGTAAAAATTGGTTTTTCTCACTTTTGACCCTCAGAACACAAAATTTCCCGATTTATCTTTAGACCTTTTTAAAGAGCTTAAAAAAACAAATAATTTAGTATATAAAAGTATTTTTGTTCGATTATTAGTAACGGAGAAAATTAAAAAAATTGTTAATTTAAAATTCCCATGTTATTCTTATGGAGAATATTGTCAAAGGTTGTAGTTTGCTTGTTTATGGATATATTTTGATCAAACTTGGCAAATTTATTTATTTTCTACTAAGCTATCAATATTTTACTCAAAAACACACTTTATTAGTTCCCTTGTAGCAGCAAACCTAGGTACTCGTTAAACATAATGTTATTAAAATATATTTAACTGAAAATCAATTCAGACAAATGGAAATTCGCTTAGTCGGCAGGTTTGCTGCGGTGGGGGTATTTTGTTCTTTAGTTGTAAATTTTAATTAGGTAAAAAATGTGTTAATTTTATTCCACTCTCAATCCTCGAAAAGTCACAGGGAAAAGAAAGGGGTTGTACAAGATCTGTAAGTATGAAGAGTTTTCAAAACTGATTTTTTTTCCTGATATAACTGTGAGTAATTTTTCAGTCATTATTTTATTAGTTTCACACAAACTAGAGTAAATTTAATATATTCATATCCTAGTTCAGTACTAGATGTGGCAAAATACACTTCATATCTTCAAAATGTTTAAACAACTAAACAAAGAAATATTTCTAAACTGTTAATTCCCTATATGAGGGATGCTGTAAAGCTCTCAATCTGTCAACAGTTAAAACATTTCCAATGCTCTTGTTGCCAAGTAGAGTAACACAAACTACTTACTGCATAGTCAAGTGCCATCTTACGACAGTTGTAATATCAATTAAGGTACAAAGATAATAATGCAATAAATGTAAATAGTTTACATTACAAAACACTTATTATTACAGACATAACCAGTGGTTTATTGATATGTATATGCATGAGAATGGTGTTCCCATTCTGTTAGTTTTGAAAATATTATTTTTTGGAACCTACAAAAAGTCATACCAAGAGTATATTCCCACTATGTATTTTACAAAACCACCAGATATATTGCATTTTTCAAATACAATGTCCGATACAAAAATCAGGGGTTTTTTTAATGAATTTTCAACTACTTCATAAGTAAATTAAAAGTTATTTAGGGAACTTTTATACTACAGCATAAAATGCATTTTATAATGCATTTTATACACTCTATTGTCAGCTCACAACAATTGTTAGTTCATTAACTACCTTGTTTTCTATTCACATTAAATTTACTTTCTGAAATTACAGTTTGATATACAATACGTTTTTTACAACAAAATCAACCTATATGCATATAAATATTAACAATATGCCTTTCTTGTGTACGTTAAATAAACATTTTAAAGGTATATAGGCCTACCACTAACCATACTCTTCTAGTGCTCAAACTCACAAAGAAAAAACCTTTACCAAATCAGCATGTAACTCTTGGTTCAGAAGATTTGTACTGCTTTGATAACAAGTTGAAAGATTTACATTAAGTTATAAGAAATCAGGGATACAATATAAAATTCTGTGGTTTTTGGGGAATATCCAAGACAAAACTGAAGTATTGGGAAGGGAACTTGAGGATCTTTAGACACCCTGGAAACACTCTTTTGGAAGTGAACAAGTTAAGATGTACCAAGAAGTCGGCTGGATCACATTGGTGTGGGTTGAGCTGTGGTGTTGGTGGGGCTCGTGGACAGTGTGGTCCCTCATTGTACCCCCGAGCTGTTCCTTCAGCTGGCAACCTCCCCTCCACTATCAGAGTCCCCAGCTCTACAAAAGCCTCCACCCCATCCTCCATCCTTGAGCAATGCATCTCTCCTGGGTTCCTGGACAGAAAACAATGCACATGAGTTCCTGAATAAGAGGAAGGAAAAGATAGAAACAAAGATAAAAGGTCTATAAAGCCTATTCCACACATGGAGACTGAGTCGGCAGACAGTCTGTCAACACAGTTTCGGATACAAGTTTCCGATGTGTTTTGCGTCCACACTAGCCAGCCAGTGTTTCCATGTTTGTTGGTATGGTGACTGAGGAGGACGTAATTATATCCTGTACGGGCTTCATTTTTCTGAACCATGGGGCTAATGAATCTAGGAAGAGACGATGATGGACCCAACATTTTCTCGAGCAAGGTTCGTACTATGGCCAGAATCGTCTATCAGACCTTCAGATTAGGTGGAGGATTTACGATCTTCACGAGGTTGACTTCTAAAGATATTTAAGTTTTTCTGGGCTTTGTTGGTCTTAAGATTTCAAACTTGAAAAGAAGAGTGATTCAATAAAATGTTATATAATGATATAAATCATTGAAAACTAATTCCAAAACTTTCAAGAAACTCAATCCAGCTCTTTTATTACCTTTTGTAATTTTGTAAAAGATGGACAAGTTCTAGAAATTATAAATAGTAAAAGTTATAAACAGTTATAAAAGTTAATCAAGTTTCAGGATAAATTAAGAAGGAACAGATAGAATCAGTGATACAAGGAATACAATTTCAAGGGTATGTTAGGTATAAAATGAAAGAAAAAATATGTTAAAGGTACACATGTTTTAGTTAAGAGCAAAAATAAGAAACATTGATGGACACAAGTTTGAGGAGGTATCAAGGAAAAATGAGAAACAATAGTAAAAGGTACACGAGTTCAAAAATGTATGAAGAAGATAAGATATAGACCCACAAGTTTTTATCAATTGCAGATGAGTAAAATACACAATTAGCTTTCCAACAAAAGACAGCTCATTTAAATCCACCACAAAAGATAAAAAGGTGGTAAAGCTATGTTATTGGAAGGGATTGAATAACACATTAGAACAGTGTTTAAAACTATCAATCTACCTTATCCTTTGACTTTGAGACATGAAATCACAGTAAAAACAATTCAGAGCTGTTCTTAGTATAAAGTATATAAATTTGTTAAGTTAGACCAAAATATATCCATAAACAATGTGTTTAAGGAAAACAAATTGAGTTGATTAATTTAAGCTCTTCTAGTTTCAACTAGGATTTCTTTGTGTTTTTGACTAAGTCATGACGTAATGGTTTTTTTGAATGCATTTCTAGAGCGAGTTTAATAAAATACTTCAATGTCAAAAGTCTTATGGCATTTTATAACGTGTTTTTACAAATTAACCTTTATTATTACCTAAATTTTTACATTCTACATTACTATCTCAGTTAACGTTGCTAAATCAGTTACATAAATGGTTTATTAAAACCAAAACTAATTAAAATGTTAGTTTGAGGTTAATTTCAAGTAGGCCTAGTTGTATTTTTTCATAAAACTGTATGTCATATATACTTGCACTAACACACATGCAACAAATTTATTCTTGGAATCATCTTGTGTATCGCGATGTAATGTATAAAATGTGTACATTTGAGGTAAAAAAATAACAATATTTTTATAAACGAAATACATTCAATTAACTAATTCAATTCTATAATAAAATTTCCAAAGTAGGTTAGAAAACAAATTAGGTTATAAAACGCCAGTTTTAAAAATTTGAAAGTGACAAACAAATATGAAAAAGCAAAATAAAATAACATATTGTGCATTAGATTTTGGTGTCAAAAATAAATCTTACTGAGGAGGAAACGTGAATAGCAAAAACTAAATTAAAATTGACTGTATTTACAATCCAATTGAAAGCAGGGAGAGCAATGTATTTTTAAGCGCCTTCAAGGGTTTGCCTGCCGCACGCAATACACAGCAGCCAGCAGCTAGTTTGAATCGATTGTTTGGAAGGCACGCAGTTAAATCCAGAGAAGTACATTCCTGGGAACAAAGGAAACGTCCCTTTGTTGTCTGTGTCCTTCGCCTCCGAGTCTGTACAAATATTGCTCCAACAGAGGTTCAAAGGTTATTTGATTTTTAACATGACTAATGTATGCTATTTACTTTACTACTACAGTACGTGATTATTCACATGTTTTCTGTTACTGCGTCATCCGGTGCAATACAAAAACACAATTTTTCAAGTGGGAGTCGTTAGTAACAACACAAATAAAAATTACGGAAATGTAAGTTTTACTTAAAACTATTAAAAATAGGTAACCAAACAGGACATCACGTTATGTATCACCCAAGTGAAGAGCTGAACTTTATTTATTACAATGAGCCACTCCAATAAAATGTAATAGTATCGGTTCGTGTCTTAATTAACAATTAGTTAGGCTAAGTTGTTGTCGAGACGAGATGTGTTGCCTACAGTAATTGTATTATGCAATACTGTTGGGGCTGTATTGGATTATTGCAGATTTTTTAGCAATTCAAAAATTACACCAGAACGTTAAAACCTACAAGAGGGGTCAAGATAAAAACCATTGGTTGTTGAAATACTATGGAGGTCAACGAACCCTCCTTGAAAATAGTTCATTTTTCACCAACATCAGTGAGGGGAGAGGGCAGTTTTGCCTATATCTGCACGCAATGTTGAATTATTATATAAATTTGTTTAAATTAACTGACTTATCGCATTCGTTTTTCCTTTAATTATAAAAGTAACTATGTAATAAATTACTAAATTCGCAGAATGTAGAGATACAAGTTTTCAAATTAACTAGGGTGAATTTTCAGTCTTAGCTTGATATTTACTTCATGTTAAATACTCGTCGCAGTGATATTTAGAAAGTCAACACGAGTCCTTTGAGGTCCATGTTCACCAAAAAAGTGTTTAATGTGATTTAATATTCCTTTAGAATTATTGTTTACTATTATAGGACTACACTCAGAACTTCATAATTTATGCGTCCGGTTTTAGAACATTTAGTATTCAAACCTTTTTTTATAAACTGTTTAATCATTTTTTTACGAATGTATTAAGTTTTCCGAGTGCCTTTTGCCTAAACACTTTGACGAGGGTCATTTTACAGCCTGTGACTTCGCGGTCCGAGTGCCACCCAGGTATCAGTGACCGGTTCCATGGTGCGGCGGGTATGGGGGTGAAAAGATCGACCAGGGGGGATGAGCAAAATTTGTTTTAGTGATAAAATGAAACTGTTATAACCCTAACCTAACCAAATGAATGAGGTTTACTAATCGAATCGATATTAGGCAGCTAAGAAACCCAGGCTCCGTTCTGCCCACTACACCACCACTAATACCCCTCCCCTGAATCACTCTTAGGGGAGTCAAACGGCACTCGGGCCTATCTGACGGTTTTGACAGTGTTTGCCAACGGCAAAAAAGAATAGAACGGCACTCGCTCCGTTTCCCAAGTTTTCCCTATTTAACATATTTTTGAAACCATACAGTTCTAGATTATACAAATAACTAGTTAAAAACAACTTGGTTGTTTACGGACATGCATTTCATTTATAACATTGATACTCCTAATAACAGAAACTATTTTATCAATGTTTAGAAACGAAACAGCCGTGATTCACTTTGTTTGTTGTACCACGGTTCAAGGGAATGCGGTTCATCGTGGGTTATCTTCTCTCCATTTTGCAGTAAAAAATTCACTTTAATCTAATGAAACCGATGAACCCTTATAAATATTTTCTGAAGGTAAAATCCCAAGCTGTATACCATAATATTACCATATTTATTAGTTAATAGGTAAAATTTATTACCACAAACTTATTGTGTTTTCCTTTTAATGTCCGATTTCCAGACTAATCAATGTTTCATCTCCAAACGAATTACTTGTATCCGGCAACAAGCCATTAGTACCGTAACCCATTAATGATAAGAATACATTACAATTAGACATACGAAAAATACATTAATGGGACGGAATAGAAGGAATACGAAATAAAAATATTATTTTTGAACTTAATATACTGTAATTGCTTATAGATTTTTGAATAATGATGACAGAAATATATTTATATTATGCAGTTTGATCAAGAATCCGGTATTCTAACACAAAACTGACATATTCTAATCGTTATTCATTCCATGAGTAACAAAATGTAATTGAACATACTGCATTTTTTGTAAACTCAGTTCTACTCTTAAAGTGATTATTTGTGTAATCTTAAAAGCCTCTAGAATCGTGTTTCCTCTGGCAATGAGCTAAGAGCAGACCTTCAATTAGTATACAGTGATGCAAGGTCGGTAACAATGTTGTATAGTGTTGTCAGTTGTAGTCTTTACAGGGACGCAGTGGGTGCACATATGGGTCAATGGCCTTTGAAAGTAAATGAATCCCAAGTTTGAGTTACTGAGTCTGTGCGCGGCCATGACAGTTATCGACAATCAGCTGTTGAGCTCAAGGCCTACAGTCAGCTGTGATCGGCGCTGCCAACCACGCAACGCGGCACGAAATATCCCTGGCGCAACCGACCCTCCCTTTCTGGAACCACGACAAAAACGCCAAATTAAGACATGGAGGAAACGTGGAGGCTAAAATTAAAGCGATTTTAGTGCCAGCGGGGTTGCCACGGCTTCTGACGTGTGAACTATTATTCTCTGAATATAGAAGATTGCTGATCACCCTGTACAGCTGGGCTTTGTGTACACAGTAGGAGGGGAGGGGGCGGTTAGTGGTGTTGCTGGACCACATCAATCCAAAAATATTTCCTTGATTGGATCAAATAAACGTGTCGAATGAATTGATACCAATTCAAATGGTAGGGTGTGTATACCCATTCGGAATATTACAACAACTTTGATTGCAAAAGCTACACAAATCCTGCATACTTTAAAAGAAAATCCCTCGTATTTCGTGTGATTTGCTATTCCCAAGGTATCAAAAATATCCATATTCAGGTTACTATGTACGAATTACATACATAGGCCACAGTTACGTTACTATTACAGTAACATAGATGTTTATATGATTACATGAGAACGTCATTTTTTATATCTTTAAAACGAT